AGAGGAATGCTGCCAACTATTTGAGGGAGGAAGGGGGTTAACCGTCATTCTAAATAGGAAAGGGTAGATATTGAATAGGCCGGCAAATCTAACTTGGGAATAGAGAGGGTCCATAGGCTGGCAAAATCTAATATTGGCAGGGGGAGGGTTATCAGGGAAATGTGGCAGTCTAAATATAGGAGTGAAAAGGTGAACTGACATGGCCAGGGCTGTCTTTATTATTGACTGGACCCTGGGCAAGCATTTTCTTGGGCCTCCTGGTCCCACTCCCTGGCATGCAATCATGCCCTCCACCCCATCGCAGTGATGGAACTAAAGTGGAACTATCCCTGGTGCAAGAATTTTATTGGGCCTCCCACTTGAAAGGTTGGACAACTCCAACAACGATTAGACAGCTGGGCTCTACTAATTTCCCATGCTTGCAGGGTTGTATTTAGCACTGTGTTTGAATGTAAGCATGTTTTTGTGTGGAGTATGTTTGTATAAATGCGTTTGTAATTGGTGTTGGAGTTTAAATGCAAGCATGCATTTATGAGTAGTGTTGGTTTTTAACCCCTTAAGGACCAAATTTCTGAAATAAAAGGGAATCATGACATGTCACACATGTCATATGTCCTTAAGGGGTTAAATGTGTTTATATATAATTTTGGTGTTTAATACAGATGTGTACGTGTATTTATTGTTCGCGTTTCAATGCAGGATTGTATTTGTATGTAATGTTGAAGTTTGAATGGAGGTGTGTATTTGTATTTGATGCTGGTGCTCAGACACACAAGTACACACCTGCAGATACAGACAGAAACTGACAGACACAAATACATACAATGACAGACATACCAACACAAACAGGCACATACAATGATAAACATACTGACACACCCAGATACATACACTTACATACTGATGTACACACAGATGCATGCACTGACATTTTTAAACTCAAGTTTCCTACCTGTTGCTTCCCTGGGGTCCTGGGTGATGCCTGAGGCTGATTGGAGAGAAGTTTCTATTTGTATTTAATGCTGGTGCTCAAATGCTCATACAGACACACACAGACAGATTAACTGACAGACATACTGACACAGATGCATACACTGACAGACATACTGACACACACACACAGGCACATGTACAGACATACTGACACACACACAGGCACATGTACAGACATACTGACACACACAGGCACATACACTAAAACATGCTGACACATACAGATACAAACACTGACAGACATACTGACACACAGGCACATACGCTGATATACATACTGGCACACACAGGCACATGCACTGAAAGACGTACGGACACACACATACATTCACACACAGATACAAACACATGACATACATGTAACTAACATTTTTAAACCCACTCTCCAGTTTTCTACTACCAATGTAAGATGATAAGCCATATGTACTATTTCTGATAAATTTCAACTTGACATGACAAATGCTGTCGCTTGTCACATATTCCCTTGTGCTGCCAGTACTAAATACCGTCTCTGACGGTGTACTTGTAGCAGGACCGGAAGGAATACATGACTAACGATCACAACAAAACTAACTGAAGGTTAGTGGTTTAAAAGACAACGGTCACCTCAAGACTAACTTTTATCCCGTAGCGCATAAACTCAAAACAACCCTAGAGAAGTGGGAAAATCTAGAGATATCCTGGCAAGGCCGGGTAAACACAATTAAAATGATGATACTAACCCACATTCTCTACCTCTTCCGTACGCTGCCCATAGCAATACCAAACAAACTGATCAAACTACTACAAGCCACTATAAATGCGCACGTTTGGAGGCAGAAGCCTCCGAATGTAGCCCAACGCAACCTAGGGCTTACTTATACCAAAGGGGGCCTGGGATTGCCGGACATCAAGACGTATTACAGAGCCTCAATCTTAGTGCAGGGGGTGCACCTATTGAGACTTACGAAATCTTCCCAACAGTCATTATGGTTGTCGCTGGAAAATGCATGCCTACACCCACAAGACATAACACACTCCCTGTGGATCAGCACACGCCCTAGACAGGTAGGGGCACAGCCACTGCAGTGCACTCGATTCCTGCTGCATTCCTGGCAGCTCTGGAATCGCTTAATTATGAACCCTCACTCGCTTCTCAGAGAAGCACCTCTGGCGACCTTGGCCACATTCTCCCCAGACCTACCTATGACTGGATGGGCTACCAAGGGCATACATAAAGTGCTAGACCTCCTGGAGGGCAACACGATCAAACCCTACCCTGACCTTCAGCGGCAATACCTCCTACCCCAAAGAAACATGTTTCTCTACCTTAGAGTAAAAAACATACTATTACCGCACTTAAAAGAAATGCGAAAATCACTCGAGGACCCTCCCTTACTACTCACCCAGGTTCTGTCACATAAATTGAGGAAGCCACTGTCCATGTGTTATAATGCCCTTCTTAACGGCCAGTCCGGAGAGAAGACATCTTACATGCTGCAATGGGAAGAGGAGTTTGGGCACCAAATTCCCTTGTCTCGATGGTATGAGGCAATGACAAACACAAAACGAGCCTCAAAGAGCCTCTCTTTGTGGGAGGCATACTGCAAGATTTCTATGCGGTGGTACCTAGTCCCACATATACTGTCACGCATTTACAAGGATGCATCTGAGCTATGTTGGCGCTGTGGGGGAGGAGCGGGAACCATGTTACACATGTTTTGGGAGTGCCCGCTGCTGGGGGCATTCTGGAAACAAATACAAAGCCTTATATCTAGCACAACAGACCTCCAAATCCGGCTACAGCCCGAACACTATCTATTACACATGATATCTGAGTTGACACTACATCCCCACAGAAAAGTGATAGTCAATATACTTAGCGCAGCAAAGGTCCTCCTAGCTCAAAACTGGAAGAGCACAAAAATACCCACCATAAAGGCAGTTAGCAGCAGAATGGACGTAATCGGCTCATATGAACTAATGGATAGGAGGGTGCAGGGCCGGGAGGATAGGCACGAGAGGGAGTGGGGCTGTTGGAGAACCAAACCGTAAAAGCAAATAATATGTCACACAGAAGGGTCAAACTCCAATGTGACCGTAAACGCATATACAAATGTAAATGAAATCCTTAAGGTAAATGCATAGATAACTACAGACACACAACTGTTAAATGAATGCAAACCAAGAGTAAACAGAACAGGAGCCGGCAGGGTTAGGGATTTATATATCCCCAGTCCCAAGTCAAACCCCTTCCCCACCCACCCCAAGTTCTCCTTTAGGCTTCCATTGAACTGAAATATCAGAAAATAAGATGCCTTAACAATCCATGTTGACGATACACACCAACTTACCCATGCGATAACTTATGTGTAGATACTCACTGTTATGTATACCTCATGTTCACCATGTTAAAATGTAGCGAAATACTTCAATGTAATGATTTATGTATCTAACACTGTCAACTGGACAAAATGTATGTACCTACCCTGTTCAACTAAATAAACTATATATGAAAAAAAAAAAAAGACTAACTTTTAATGGAGTCATTCTTTCATCGAGTTTTGAAAGGAAATAGATATTTAAATGAAGCCTAGAAGCAGGGAAGACTAGAGAGAATAATAGATGGTTTTCAAACACTGTCTGACCCATGGTGGATAAAGGATCCTTTTATATACTAAAGGTAGGGATGAACTTTCTCATTTTTTAAATTTACATATAATTCATTAACCCCCTAAGGACGAAGGCAATGGTACACGTTCTGATCGAAACAAGTCCTAACATTTGAGCTATATGTCTATTCAACCATAATTTACCCTTTTCATATTAAGTGCACCCACACTTATTATATCTCATTTTGTTCAGGAGAAAAGGGGCTTTCATTTTACATCAAATTTTTGTACATGAAACAAAATGTAATATTAATAAGAAATGTTATGTTTCAAGTTCTGCATGGCATTTTAGCTGTAAATAGATAATACTGTTGGCTTTTACTGCAATAAAATAAAAATATTTGTATTCAGTGATGTCTCACGTGTAAAACAGTACCCCCATGTACAGGTTTTATGGGGGGTTTGGAAACTTACATGGTCAAATATAGGGCTTGTCCATTTCAGTTTTTAGAAATTGAAATTTGCCAGATTGGTTTGCTGTGTCTAAGTTGCCTTTCTGACCATATGGCAGCCAATAAATGAGAATTACCATCATGCACTGGTGTATTTTGGATCTGTGCTGCCCTAGGCATGTAGAAACTCTGGCACCCCCCCCCCCCATCTAACTATGCCCCACCCCTTCCTGTCAAAGCCACACCACTTCCTGTTTAAGGCCAACATGCTGTCACTTTCACTGACACACACTGACATATACACACACTCACTGATTTGACACATTGACAGAGACTCACACACACTAACAAACTCACTCCCAGACGTACATTGATATATCAAAATACACTAATGCAGTCCAGCTTACTAGTGATCTGGCGATGTCATTGCTATGTCATTGTGATCACATGGCCCATAATTGCTGGATTGGCTGCAGGGGGACTCCCCAATCTGTATCACCACGGAGGGTATGTATGCACTGTACTCAGACATCAGGCATGCTGCCGTCTTTGAATGTTGAGCGGGAGGCTGCAACAGGGAGTGGCAATGCTGGAAATGAGGTGAGTACTACTGAATTTCTTTTCTTTTTTTTTTTTAATACCAATGGGAAATAGATAGAAGTGAACCTACACTTCCTAACAAAACAATTTTATATTCATGACTATATGTTTCCTTTAAAAAGTATTTTTTGTGTACCAACTTGTAGCACAACAAGAGTAATCTGTAGTACACACTACAGAATGGTAACTGCAGCTCCACCCCTCTTTTTTTTTTTTTTTTTCGGTATCAGGTGAGGCAGAGCAGGGTTAAAAAAAAAAAAACAGTTTCATGCAATTTTATCACATGTGCAATATATTGCAGAGCCTTAAAAAAAAACAAAAAAAAACACAACAGGAGAATGGTTGTGTGCCTTTACCATCTATTGTCCACGTGACACTGAAGGTCACTTGATCTTCCATACAAACTTGTCTATTTTCTAGAAATATTTTAAGCTCATTCACAGATCACTTTTTTTTTATTAATTTTGTTTGGTACATCTGTTTAAATTTAGGACTTGAAACAAATAATATGCACTGTCTTTGCATCTCCAATGTTTAGCTGAGTATCTTCTCATGGTTAACTAATGACATTTATGGACTGCTTTTGGACAGTTGCAATGAATGTCTTTATGTATTTGGCTTACATCTACACAATCTTGAATTTATTTTATTTGCGGTTTTGTTTGGGTCCCTTACAAGTCTACTATTTTATTTAATAAAAAAAAAAATAATAATAATAACTTAAAGATAATTACCGGTATATATACAGGAGGAAACCTTTTTCTACAGATAACGTAAGAAAAAAAAAAAATAGAATTTCGGAATGTATACCAAATGTTTTTCCCAATAGTTCGCTCACACAATCATTTCACTAAATCCACTGTCTGCAGGCAGTGTGCACATCACAAATGTGCAGAAATTACATTAATTTACAAATTAAAAGCTCTACTTAAATTGTCCAAAATCAATAATATAACTTACCCAAGGCAGTAATACTAGCTTTATTAAAAAACAAAAACAAAACACCACACACAAATAGCCTGTTCTTTATAAACTTGTTTCTTCAAACTCCCCAGTAGGCACGTTATAATGCCGATCATCTTCTGTTATAAGAGTCACCGCAGGCCAATCTGGCTTATCATCTGGGTAGTGCGTGACAAATTCATCTGTTCCATATTTGTAAAGTCTATACACTTTAATGGTGTGCTGCAGCGCATATCCAAGCAAAAACATTTCTACCTGTAGCAGACAAAACAAGATTTGTAAATAAAAAAAAAAAATGTAAAAATGGTATTACAGGTGCATGTTTTCTTTTCTTTCACAGACAATCAAAATACATAAGAAAAGGCAACAAAGCTTTGACAAATGCAATAATGCACTTTAAGTGATGGCCAGAGAAAGCCATGAACTATAGACACTACATTAAAAGTGCAAACAAGTCATAACAGAACAATAAGTCACTAGACAAAATACCAAACCTTATATTAATATTCCGTACCAGAGACATCATCCTTGTGACATCTTGCTCAACACCTAGTACACAGACATTCAATAACTAAGATATTACACTTGTGAAACCATTTGACACTTTGTTCTAGATATACTAACATCTAATATATGGATATTCTGTAAAAATATTCTGAATATTTTCCGCTATTTCAGTCTAGAGCATACATTGGTTGAGAGAGCGAGATAGAGAAACCGTGAGAATGCTGCACAAATTGATTGCCGCAGAATATGTGCAAAATAAGGATAATATAAAGACGAAAAGTCATTTACAAAATCATACAAGATATAAATACAATTTTGGGGAATTTATTATGCCTGTTTAACAAAGCCTCTTCCTGTTCCTCCTCTTCCCCATGTAGTATCAGAGAGTTGTTGCTAAATATTATGCCTGCAGATAACTTCAGTGAGGTGAGAATTAGCAAGCATTTTATTAGTAAGCATTGAACAATACATGAATATTCAGCACATTCACGTATGGTCTGTGTATGTGCTCAACAGAAATGAGAACAGATTAACGAGTGATCTGAATTGTTTTAAAGTGAATTACAGATGTGTGATTTGTGACAATTCAGAAGAATGAATTCAGAGGTAATAAACTAGATTAATCATCCTGGGCTAAAACCTGATTGGATTCAAAAGCCCCTTACATGGGGTTGTTTTCTTAGAAATTGCAGTCCAAAACAATACCAACACGTGTTAAAAAATGCTGGCCTACTCACTTCAAAAAGAAGCCAATGGAACCACTAAACTAAGTTAAAAATAAAACTAATAATTACATACAAAAGGGCCTCTTATTGGAACCCCTGTGAACTAAAGGAATCTCAGCACAATGTTGTGATTTTATGAGATGTCGGTGGAGCCCTGTCCACCAGCTAGGTAACCTTCAAGAATCAGTGTGTAGTGGATAGTTAACGGTTTTATCTTTTTAAATTTTATATGTTTTCTTTCTAAAAACAAACAAACAAAAAAAAACTTCAGACTTCTCAAATTTAAGGTCACCTCTGTTACTATTTATATCTTATATGATCTTTTGAGGAATGATGCTAACCTTCTAATAGCAGATAACATTTTAGCTCTGAAATAGAACATCTCATTAGCAACTGATCTACAAATTCCCTTTAAAGACCGCTTGAGATGGAATTTCAGGAAAATAATGGGATTTGTTCTGGACTTTGCAAATTGGAGCTAACATTTATGAATGCATTTGTACAATAACATTTTCACATGTATTCATGATTATCTCACCTGCTCAAGTCCTCCTGTGTGCCCCACTTTATTTAAGTGATTCTTCATAAATTCACAAGGATCATTTGAATTATTGCGAGCAAACAGCAGCCAGGAGAATACAGGGACTTCCCTACCCTCTACATTCGCATTATATAAATCAATAGCAGTTTTCAACATCAAAAACTTCACAGCTTCATACAAACAGTACTCTTCATCTTCATTTTTAAAGATCTCATCGCACGCTTTCTGTTTCTCTGCTGGGATCTTCATTTCACTCAGTTCAACCCACTAAATTATAGGACACAAAAAGATCATGGAGTAAATCTGCACAATAAAGCAATGACTCTACTTCAGAGAACACAACTCTGCATATTCGAAGAAAAAAATAAAAAATATCAAAAAGCACCCTTGAGTATCCTTTTTTGGAAGCTTTATTTTTAATCGAAAAAGACTGCTCTGGAATGTAAGGCAAGAGATCTATGTACAGATCTTTTGTAAAGGTTCAGTGGACAGAATACAACTTTATATTTGTTAAACATTTATATTGAATGTTCTATATTTTTTGTGATTGTAAAAAAAAAAAAACCTCAATAAAATTAATCTGAAAAGAATACAACAGAGAAGTTTGTTTTACTTAAGTGTGAAAATCAATGCAAGAGCACAGAAGAAAAGCACAAGCCAATTAGCTGACTAAAAGTTATTGGAGAATTGTGCATTTCTTATTTTTACTTAAAACAAATTAATTACATTTCTAACAATATTGTACACTAGACTGCACTGCTATGCCATAGCCTACAAAATATATTTATTTCACTGCTATTGTTCTGGTTCTGTGTTAAAGGTAAGAACAAAAGTGTGGCTATATCCATTGTTAAATCAAATTCTAAATCCCTCCTTTAACATCTCTTAACCCCAAATACCATCTATAATCATTACCCAAGAATTCAACCAATGAACACTTAACTCTAAAAACTCTACACATAAAATTAGTACCCTGGACTTTAAGCCCCAGAATTCTAAATATCTTACAATCTCTCCTATACCTTACCTTAGGTCTTACTCTAGCTCTAAGCATTGTTCAAACCTAGCCATGTTATCTCCCATATCGACCATCTTGTAAGGCCCACTACATTTGTTTACAGATTTCCTGGAAGAAGCCCTGGTTCCCACCTTCTTCTGCCAAATCACCGGGAAAGCATCATAAACAGTGAGAAGTGTGGGAATGCAGTCCCAATTGCAGGAGTTGGCAGCCTTTTTTCACAATGACCAAAGGCAATGCCAGTTAACGGATGACAGATACATAATAGTAAATGGCTCACTAATTTGGTATTCCTATAAAGGTCTGTCATATTTAAGAAACCGAATTAGGGAGCCACCAGAGATGATGCACCATGCATAACACCAATTCTTTTATTTCAAATATATGATCTTTATTTGAACAATTTACGTATTTTATAATTACTAAGTCTCGGAAAATCCAATAAAGGGAAATTATGTTTACGAACCTTTTTTTTGAGTAATTCTAAATAATCTTTTAGTCGCATCCATACTTTCTTGCTCTCATGTGCGTGCCAGAGTCTCCACTGCTTTATCCAGTCATATTTCTCAACAAAATTTTCAGGCAACTGTGTTGGAAACACAAAGTACAAATTCATTGGAATATTATAACAAAATGAGCTGTAATTAATAAAATGTGCTTTCCAAGTGAGCAGAGCTCTAAATTAACCTCCAGGGTAATGTGGTTTTCAGTATGATAAAAGTGTGTCAGTACAAGATTGATAATGCATTGTTACTGCAATGCATTCAGCGCACGCATTACATTTGCAGAGTCATATCACACTTCCATATAATGGCACTAGTTTCAAATGCATAGATTTATTTATAATTTTTTTTTACATAAATGCATTGTGATTTTTTTTTACCAAATCACTTGAGAGTTTGTAAAGAAGAGTTTAATAGAACAAGGAAAACCATTGTGTGATTTTCTCTAGGACTACAGTCAAGTGTAACTCTTAATTTCTTCAAATATACATTACTCAACCGCAGGTTAAAACCCCTTCAGCCACTTACCTGAATCCAGCACCAATATCCCTCGGCGCTGGGTCAGGTTCCACCCACGGCCGACGTCAGCCGGTGGGAAGACGTAATGCGCATGCGCAGCAATGGCCGTGCGCGCATTAGACCTCCCCATAGGAAATCATTATTCCATGCTTTTCTATGGGGAAAATCTGATGCTGGAAGTCCGTGAGGACGTCCAGCCTCAGATAAAGGACCAAAAGTCCCTTTGGATTCCGGAAGCCCTCTAGTGGCTGTCTGGTAGACAGCCACAGAGGGCAGACTTGGACCTGCAATGTAAACATTGCAGTTCTCTGGAACTGCAATGGTTTACATTGCAGCACTAGGTGTAAAAGGATCACAACACCCAGACTATTTCAATTAGCTGAAGTGGTCTGGGTGCCTACAGTGTCCCTTTAATGCAATTGTTTATCACACTAACACGGTTATTTACTTAAGTTAGAAATGTCAGGAAATGTCCAAAGTAGCTGAACTGGAAAAATTCAAAAAGTCACTTATGTTTTCAGTTCTACTACTTTGGCCTTAAATTCAAAGGAAGGCTAAAATGTCAGGAATGTAAACATTTATTCCTGACAGTATAGTGGTGAAATCACTATGTAGGTATTCTCCCTTTGAAGAGCTATTTTACTCACCTTTTTTCCAGCACCAGCTCCATGGTTGAGATCAAACCTGAGGCTATTACACATGCACAGCAAAATGCAGCGCTGCATCAATTGGCATGTCCTCATAGACATGCAATGAATCAATGCATCTCTATGGGGAGCATTCAGCGTCTCCATGCAGAGCGTGGAGAAGATGAACATCAGCACTGATCCAGTAAGCACCTCTAGTGTCCGTCTGAGTGACTGACACTAAAGGAGTTCCTAGGCAGCTATGCAAACACTGCCTTTTCGCTACATCAAAACTCCTGCAGGGACAGGCTATAGACACCAGAAACACTACTTGGTGTCCCTTAATAATTAACCTTAAATCCTCAACACTTCTAACTTTGTTAGATAACCCTGCATATGTAGCAGCCTGTTTGTGCTTCAACAAGTGGATACAGTAAATGTCTCAGGATTTTGAATCTTATTATCTTTCAAAGAGAGTAAACAAAAAAAACTGCTGCTCAATGATCGAGTTGTGGTGGAACAGACATGCAGCTGGTTGAGAGGCACTTTACCCCTCACAATTTAGTTATAACATTTAATTTTATTTTTCAAATGTACCAAATACATATTTGTTAACTATAGGGATAAGTAAACATAAGATTAAAAGTCCTGGTACATGACAGTTCCCTTTTAAATTCTAAATGGAACTCAGCAGATTTGGACCAAAGTAGGGAGATCATTCAATTCTAGATTTTCAGTATTCCATCAGAATTGCAACGGACAACCGCCAGAATATTACAAAATAGATTAACCCCTTAAGAACTGAGCCAAATGTACACGTTTTGATCAAAATAAAACGTAAACAAAACTTGGAATTTTACTATACGTCTGTTCAACCGTAATTCACCTCTTTTATATTAAGTGCACCCACACTTATTATATATCATTTTATTCAGGAGAAATAGAGCTTTCATCTAACATCAAATATTTAACTAAGAAACATAATTTAATATGAATAAAATATTAAACAATGGGAGAAATGTTATTTTTTTGGTTTTGCATGACATTTTAACTGTGAATGTCATAATACTATTTGCTTTTAGTGCAATAAAATACACATATTTGTATTTAGCGATGTTTTATGGTGTTTTGGGAAGTTACAGGATCAACTATAGCATGTTACATGTTTACTTTGCCTTTGACACTGTAAGAAAAATGTACAACAATATTGAAAACCCCAATTCATAGAATCCTCAGTTGTACAGCTCCAAATGATGTAATTGCAAAATGAGTCATAGCTTCTCCCTGTAACATCTTTGAGTGATCAAGCAGGGTTACTAATGTTTTAGAATTTTAGAAAAACATTTTTCGTCCTTTAGAAGCTGGTACTCAAAATATATGATGGTTCTTTAAATCCCCACAATATCCTTGAAAGCATGTATTTCACATAATGAATGCCTACAGGCTCAAAGTAGTTTCCACAGCAATTTACAGAATTTATACAATGTGGATGTAACAAAAAGAAACCAACAGACACAAATAACGTTTACAGACACAAGAGGCGAAGAAGTACCTACCTTAACTAGCTAACAATCTAGGATATGTTGGACCATCTATGTGCCGTGAAACTGGACACTCATATAGGAAGCACCAGCAGAATTATCAACAGCTTACTATAAAAATAACCATTACGGCTCACTGCAGTGGTTATGGTATAGAATGCATTTTGGGTGCTGACCTGTGCTTTTAAGTGGTAAAATAAATAAATTCGGAACCGCACCCTTCTGGTGCAGCTAGGCCAACATTGAAAGTGAACGTCTGCATTAGCTTGTTCAGGTTTGGGGAGGAAATGATAAGCAGAAAGTGCTGAGCTAACCTTTTTCTTGTTTTGTTTTATTTACTCCTGAAGTACACATTAGGCTTTCACAATGAAAATAAGCCACAATAACCACAAACGATTAAAGATAGCTGTAGAAGTTATGGTGCTAGGCTGCTATGTGTGCATTTCCTCAGCACACTGTATTTTCAATGTTATATATACATATTTAAAGGGACACGAATCATTTGACCATTATTTTTTAAAACCAGCCAGCAAAAACTTTAAAACCAAAACCTTGAAAAGTATGTAATAAATATTTATAAACTTGCATTGTTGGACATGCCTCTCAGCTAGAGGAGCTTCCTCCCCACTCCCTCTTACCTATCCAGTTCAGTTTCAGACAAGTCCACTAATGACTAATAATCCCCCCTACGCCCCAGGTGGGTGTGTTAAGCAAAAGAAAGAAGCAGGTAAATATGAATAAATTAAAATCATACTTACCTGCTTTTATCAGCCTGCAGAGGAAAGCAACTGTCTCATGAAAAGTTAAAGGTTTTGAATGAGACAGTTGTCTCAGAGTGACGCATGTCCCTTTAGTCTATAAACCAGGATCTTCACCTCCTTTTCACTAAGCCACCTTACAGAATGCACTAAGACACAGCTTGCTTAATATAATATTTTCATTCGTAAAACGTCCCACATTTGTATTAAGAGACAACGAGTAGCATATTTCTACTTTCTACTTTTCTCCACAATAAAGAGCTGCATAACATTTGGCAAAATTCAAAGACTGCCAATCTGCAACTGCAAATCTAGCAAATGTTATCTAACAGAAAATAAATTGCTTGCTTAAGCCAAGCATTCCACGTAATGCACCAGGCTAAATGTGGTCAATTTAAAGGAACGGTATAGGTTTAAAAAAATAAATAAATCCTACCACGCCCCCTCCCACTCCCCACCGACAGTAAACCTACTGTCACTAAATGCTTTTTCCCTTAATAGTGTAAAAATGACGTTTAGAAGTACCTTTATTAATCTTTAATATGATCAGATTTTTTGCTCCTCCTCTGATTTTCATGTAATTTCCCCCTTTGCTTTTTCCCTGCTTCCAGTATTTCAGCTGGACTATCCAAGTACCGCTTGGCAGTCAAATTCCATAAATTCTACCCCTCATATTTGCAAAATGTTTATCAATATAGTTGCTGTTATTTCAAATTTAGATTTTTATATGCCCCATCTCCCCCTTTTCTCTGCCTCAGGCTTCCCAATGACCCTCCTCCTTCTCCTCTGCCCCAGCTCTCCCTGTATGTGTTTCAGTGTTTGTATCAGTGTGTCTGTACAACCTTGTCAGTGTTTGTATCAGTGTGTCTGTGGAACTGTAAACTGTATGTGTGTCAGTGTTTTTGTACATCTATATGCCTGTATTTGTATGTGTGTCAGTGTTTCTGCATGTGTGACAGTATTTGTATCAGTGTGTATGTGCAACTGTATGTGTGTCTTCTGCTGGCTGGGGTTGAAGGGAGTTAGGGGGCAGATAGTGCCAAGGGGTCTTATAGAGGGGGTTAATGTATACGGGGAGCAGTTATGCGGGAAAAGGCAGAGTTACACCTGTAAGTGTTGGAATTATGCTGGAAGGGGTGGGTGGGAGCAGGCACTAGTATTTTACAGTAATCCCTCCCTCCCTCACGACGGACTCTGATTTGGGAGGAAATTACAGGATCTCTCTCACTTCCTCCCAGCTTTTCCTGCACATCAGAAAGGGCACATCAAGGCACATTTCCATTGGGTGGCCATGAGTGCATGGGCCACCTGATGGACGTTCACCCAGGTTCCCAACCTGTGCCAAGTGATTGCACCGCCACCATTAACTCGGGGTCACGGAATTGTACCCTTGGGGATACGCGTACCACGGATTGGGAACATCTGCTCTATGAGAATCAGTAATGACACACCTATGTAGCTGTGCCAGAACTTCGTTATGCAATTTGCATCACTCAACACATTGACTGCCTAAGAAGTACTCAATCTAAGTTACAGTACAAATACAGAATTCAGACATCAGAACTAACATACCACATCACACACACTTCCTCACCACATTAGGCATCATATATCAAATATAGAGACAGAAACTCAAATACCTATAGAGCTTTGTCTAATCACATTCTCTCTCTTTTTATCTATCTGAATATTTTTATATATATATCTCAATTTCTCTCTCTCTATAACTCATGTATGTATATATATATACACACACACACATACATATACACACACACCCCTATAGCTCTATCTATCTATTTCTCCATCTATCTATATCTCAATCTATCTATCTAAGGGGGTTGATTAACAGGGACTGGAGGGGAACGGGTTAACAATGGGTAGAGATGTTGTCTGACAAGGACTGGACAGGAATGGATTAACAATGGGTAGGGAGGAACACTGACAGGGTCTGGCAGGGAAGGGGGTTAACAGTGGGTAGTGAGGTTGGCTGACAGTGAAGGGGTTAACAGTGAGTGGGGAGGCTGGCTGACAGGGACTGGCAGGGAAGAGGTTAACAGTGGCTAGTGAGGTTGGCTGACAGGGAAGGGGTAACCGTGGGTAGTAAGTTTGGCTGACAGGGAAGGTGTCAACAATGGGTAGTGAGGTTGGCTGACAGGGCAGGAGAGCCTTGTTTCGCACACATTTTCTTATTCCTGGTGCTGCCTCCATTGTTCGCAGCTTCCCATGTTCTGTCATTTTCATCATCCAGTAAATTACATCTGACGTCATCCCACTGATGACGTTGTTACACTCTGTTGGCGCAGTAAGGGCCATTTTAATTGTGGTAAATGTCCTCACAGAATCGATTTTGTCCAAATCAAGTCATAAAATTAAATTTTCTACAAATTGTTATTAGAAATAACGGGAGAGCTCTTTTCAACTAGGGAATAGTTTATAATACTTTCATTTATTTATAACATCATTAAAACACATTTTAACACCTGAAGAAGGAAAAGGATAAAAACATCAATAAATATATTCCAAATATAGTATCACTGCCACCTAAAAATTAGGAGGCAAAAGGAGGAGTAGGAAAGGGAGAAGGTAGAGTGAAGTCTTTAATACATGTAAATTCAGGGAATGAGTATTAGATAAAAGGTATTACCCGAAATTCTACTTTCAGACCATTTGGAGTTATGGTGTCTAAGTTGGACATTAACTTCATCTCTCTTTTGCTTAAAATGTATTTCTTTACTGGCCTCTCTCCAATGGTCTTTAACCTGTTCTATACCACACACACACACACACAAAAAAAAGTTTTTGTGATACATTGTGATAAAAAAAATCATCTTCTGCTCATTTCCAATACGTTCTTTAATTATTGTTTTTAATACTCTTGAAGTTTTTCCAACTTATTGGTAACTCCCAGGGCATGCTAATAAATGGATAATATTTTTCGTATTACAGGTGATACAGCTATTTCATACTCCCTTTCTATTCTAAATTATTTGATTTGTCTTTCTTTCTTCCTATCCTTATTGCTATTTAATCTACATCCCATACAATTCTAACAATAATAAAATCCTTCAAAATATATTTTTTCTCTCTCGCAGTTAAATTGTTAGAAATGTTTTGCCCCCCTAAAAATAAAGCTGGGGTTAGTTTAAACTCTGAAATGCCATCGTTCTGTCTTTATAATTTTACATAAATCTTTTTGCTTTGCATTATAGTTAAAAAATAAGCTGAAATCCTTTGGTTTTGACTTCTTCCTCCATATTTATTTTTGTTTTATACTCTAACAATTCCAGGCTCTCTGTTTCTTGGACAGATGGACAGATGAATTTTAAAAACTGTTCATCAAATCCCTTCCTTACAAATGTGCCCTTTTAAATGCTGGCCTGGATGTCAAACTCCTCTATGTCTGTACCGTTCCTTCTCAAACGAAGGAACTGGACATTAGGGATACAAGGGTCTAAAATGACTTTCCAAGGTCAATAAAACTGTATGTAATGTATCACTCCATCACATTTTTCACAACTACATTTTTAAGGTAAAGGAGGAATGCTTTGGTAAATTTTGGGGATGGGAGGGGCTCAGTAACTACAGTGTTAATAAAGTCTACAAAGGCCAGCTGGGTGGGGAAAGAGAAAGTGGGAATGCAGATATTTTTACAATAAAATGAAAAGAACTGCAAATGTTTATCTTTGAAGTAATAGTTTTAGTAAATGTTTATGTACTATTAATTAGTTTAAATAAGTGCATAAAGAAGAATATAGTAATAATAAAACTACAAATATATATCTAAAAATATAATATTGTTTCCATTATTATGCAAATAATTGTTATTTTATCTGTTGTAGTGCATGCAGTTGCATATTCATCGCCTTTCACTAAAAGTAATATTTTGCTTTCATTTTGCATTTTCCTATTTTACAAGCAGGAATATTTAATTTCGGAAGAGATTAACGGTTGAACAAACTTAGTTTAATTAAGAAAATTCTTTTACGCATTTCAGATGAACCTAATAGATACCTGAATGAATTTCAGATGAAGTAAAATGGGAAAAAAAAAATATTTCTGAACAAACTGACAAGCAGAAATGATTTTTTTTGTGTGCACAACAATAAAAATGCATCCATACAGTCGACACAAAATAACTAAATACTAAAAATAAATTGAAATTAAATGTGAAATACATATTGTTCACACTGAATTATCATAATTCCTTGACATTTATGAGATTGCGCTGAGCAAACAGCCTCAGATTTACACTGATATAAATATCTATACACAACTGTCCTTGAGATGAAAAAAGAAGTAAAAAAGAAAAATACAAAGAATTCAAAACAGACAAAAGAAATATAATGTGGGCTAAATGCTTGGAATTATTCAAGTGAATGAACAAAACAATTGATTGGTCCAGAACATTCTATTCTAGTCATGCATAAAGTTTCCAAGTCACATTAGTCCAACTTACATTTTTGGAAGCTAGCCACAAATTCAACCACACGTTAAAATGAATGTGAAGCGTGACATCTGTATGCAGGTATTATCGGTGGACAATGAGGGTAAAATAAACATCAAAAACAATCCTGTGTAGATCTTGGTTTTGCTAGTTTTTATGCAATCTGTTATGGATTACAAAACAAAACTACCTTAGGGATGCAAGAGCCAAACAGTGGGATTTTTAAAATTAAAATAAGGGGAAGTTGCAATTAAACATCAGCCATGTATCAAGTATGACACTGCCAAAACAAAGGTTAGTGTAATTTAAAAGGATAGTGTTTTTTTGACCTAGAGAGAAAAGGGGTGCAGTTTATAGCATAACATTTTACAAAATCTAGTGTCAGTACATGGCTGACTGGAAAGTTACATTATTGCTGGTTCCTTTACCCAGGGTATCCAGCAAAGCTGAATTTCTTGGTACTCTGGAACAGCTTCTAAACCTAGGACTACAAAAAGTGTTTGTAGAGGTGTCAAAATTCCATATAGCAGTTCTTATTCCAAAATTACAATATACAAAGTATATTATAATTTCCAAGTTTAACAAGCATAGTATGTTTAACATACATTATTTATTTTTAATTTATGGGGCATGTAGTCTACTGGTTAACCACATGAACCGAAATTAAAGCAGGTGACCTGTTCACTACTTATTATCTAGTTTAGAATACCAGTTCTTAAAAGGGTTACTCCAAACAGCATGACCACTTCTACAGGCCCGTTTTACTATGAAACACTGTACTTCCAGCGTCTAATACCATTCCAGGCTCTCTAATGTTAATACTGTGCACATTCTATGCCCAAGAACGTTAGTACAGAAACAGAGAATGCAGAGGGCCCTGCTCAAACAAACAAACTCACATTCTAGGGCTTATGATGCTCGGAGTAACACTTCTTATGTAATAACATATACTAATAATATAACCTCTAGAAAACTCATTAGAGAGAAACACTCTTCACATTACCAAGAGGGTCTCTCTATTGTATCGGTAATGGATGCATTAAAGGCTGTCCCATAAAGAAAACATCTATGCGTGTAAATTCACACTTCAAGCATTTACTGCAAGCCTATATTTTCTCTTAAAATATATTTAGTGCTTCGATACCGCCTAGATACTCTACACCAGTGGTAGTCAACCTTTTTCTACCTACCGCCCACTAATGCATCTTTCTTGATGGAAAAATTTCCTTACCGCCCACCAGTTTTCGCGCAAGCGCGGAATATTTTTTAGAAAGGAGGTTGTTTTAAAAAAAATAAATAAATGTACGTACATTTATCTTTTTATTTCTACTTTATGCATGTTTATAATGTTTTTAACTTTATAAAGTTTAATTAGAAAACAATAAAGTAAATTGAAATTACTAGTGAGATCCTTGAGGCTGATGCTGCGAGACTAAATATTTGATATCTGGTTCGATTTTCGTAAGGAACAAACGAAGGTCTCCTCTTTCGGTGATATTCAGACGGTTTCTCTGTTTGCTCATAATATGATTAACAGCACTAAAGCCTGATTCTACAAGATATGTGGTAGGGAAAGGTATCAATAAATTGAACATCATTTTCCACATATTTGGATATAACGCAGGCATTTTTTTATTTTGCCAGAGTTTTTGGTATCCACCACTGCCAAAATTACATTTACTCTCTTCGTCATATTTAAGTTCTAATAGTTCTTCTTGGCAAGTTATATCAACTTCAGCAACATTTGCTGTAAAAGGATTTATCATCCAGTCATGCACCTTTAAGTTCAAAATATCTTGAAATCGTTTTTCCATATCCAATTTGAGTTCCTTGAGGTGACTACTGAACCTTTCAATATCCCCCGGACTTACATCATTGTTTATAGAGGACAATTCAGGAAACTGATGAAATTCTCTCTTGAAAATATTATGACGGAGAAGATCAAGCTTTTCGATAAATAATGACACAATATTTTTGCAACTTATAAGAGTTATATTGGCTCCTTGAAGCTGCAAATTAATGTCATTAAATCTCTTGAAAATGTCTGCCAAATAAAAGGCATCATTCTTTACGTTTTTTAACTGTTCATAGAGACCAGTCTCATTATCACTTTCAAAAAACTGTACGACACTATCAAATAATGCAACAAAACGAGTCAAGCATGTACCCTTTGAGAGCCATCGAACTTCTGTATGTAAAAGTAACCTAATAAACTGCTCGTTATTGTCCTGGCACAGCTGTCGAAACATTCTATCACACTTGGCATTAGATTTTATCTTATTTACAGCTTTAATTATAATACTTAATGATGAATGGAGACTTGTACTTAAATGTTTTCCTACAATATGTTGTCTGTGTACAACACAATGAATACACAAAACGCTTGGCACTTCTTCCTTCAAGTAAGCAACAAACCCACGATAGCGGCCTACCATTGATGGTGCTCCGTCAGTAGCACATGCAACAATATTGTTCAAGGGTATATTGTTTTTTGCAAAGTATGATTTCACAGCATTAAATATTGATAATCCTTTTGTATCTGTAATCAGATTGACAGTGAATAGCATTTCTTCTTGCAATGTATTGTTTTCATCAAGGTACCGTACATATGTCATCAGTAGAGCATTATTATCTGCAATGACAGACTCATCCAATTGTATAGAAAATGACGAATTTTGGAGAATACCTATAAGTTTATTTTCAACATTAGCCGCCATTTCATCAATGCGTCTCTTTACTGTGTTATCGCTAAGGGGCAATGTTTTTAAAACTTCAGGTATATCCTGATGCATTACTGTTGAGATAAATTCTTTGATAGAGGGTATTATCAAAGTTTCTCCAATATTATGGCTTTTACCACTTTTTGCAATTAAGTGTGATATACGATAAGCTGCAGTTAATCCATCCTCATTCTTTGCATGTTGTTTTTGAAAGGATGTAGCTATTGTTGAACGATTTTGAAATCTTTTATAGATTTCTTGAAAATATTCAATGGGCTTATCTTTATCTTGCGAATGCTTTGTAGTAAGATGTTCTCGCAATCGACTTGGCTTCATTGCTTCATTAGATAATGTCTTGTGGCACAGTAAACACATTGGAAGCTGTTTATTTGTAACAGATTCAATGAAACCCATCTTCAGATACTCTGGTAAATAGCCACGAGCGTATTTCTTTTTTTCAGACATGGGTTCTAAATTTGTTTCACAATTTAACAACTACTTTTACTCTTACGTTTTGATCTGCACTCCACACAGTGCTTTTTTCCCTCCTCTTTTCCCTTTTATTACTAACACCAAAAACAATGCTGTATTAGGTGCCAATTTTTATTAATGTCACCATCAAAAGAAATTCCTTTTCCTGCCTGCTTCTTTACCTTCCTTATAGTATATCACTATATTAAGGATCTCTTTTTCCTTTTTTTTTATTTTCTCCTTCCCTTACTTATTTTTTTCTTTTATTTTATAAGATAACAAAACTTAATTTATGAGCCAGACTAAACACTGCTTACTCTCCTCCTTTATTTTATCCCCTTTTTTCTATTTTTCTTCCTTTTTTTATCTTTTCCTTTTTATCTCCTTTCTTTTACCTTCCTGAGCGACAAAAGTAAGGCTGAGCTAGTTAGCCCACTTATTATTATTAGCCAACAATTCTCTTTCTCTCTTTGCCCTTAACTTTTCTTTTTCAACTCCTCTGCTCCGTTTCAGCCTGCTTCTGCCTGTCCCTGCTATCAGTTTCCACTCCTCCCCTAAACAATTCTCTTTCTCCTGCCTATAACTTTTCTTTTTCAACTCCTCTGCTCTGTTTCAGCCTGCTTCTGCCTGTCCCTGCTATCAGTTTCCACTCCTCCCCTAAACAATTCTTTCTCCTGCCTATAACTTTTCTTTTTCAACTCCTCTGCTCTGTTTCAGCCTGCTTCTGCCTGTCCCTGCTATCAGTTTCCACTCCTCCCCTAAACAATTCTCTTTCTCCTGCCTATAACTTTTCTTTTTCAACTCCTCTGCTCCGTTTCAGCCTGCTTCTGCCTGTCCCTGCTATCAGTTTCAACTCCTCCCCTTCCTCTTCCCACGTGTTTGCGTGCGCTCGCTCCCGCCCGACAACTTCTCACACAAAAGGAGGTTGACTGATGTGTGCGCTCGCGCCCGCCTGCACCGCCCGCCCACTCGCTCGCGTTGGTTTCTTGATGTGTGCGCTCGCTCGCGCGCCCGCCCGCTCGCCCGCCCGCTCGCGCGCTCGCTCAAAAGGAGGTTTTAACCTCCAAAGTCCCTACCGCCCACCTGGAATCCCAAAACGCCCACTAGTGGGCGGTAGGGACCAGGTTGACGACCCATGCTCTACACATTGAGAGAGTGATTCAATTTATGTGTGATTATTTGCTATACTGAGATGTTAGCTAACAGATTCAATCCATCTTACTAACAATTCCTGATGTTTTTTTTAGAAAGGAATAGTAGAAAAAAAAAAAGATATGATGAGGTACTGGGTTCCTTGCTTAAAGCCCCAAAAATATCTATAAGAGGTTGAGAATGGGAAATCATAAATCCCTATGCAGGATAACATCTCATCACTCATAGAATTAAAAGAGACCTGTGCCTTGGAATAACAGCCTTTACACTACTTGCTATTATTGGTTAAAAAAAAACAACTTTAAACTTGTTTCTTGGATTGTGCAGCAGTAGATATGTACCTATTTACCTCCACAATGCACTTAGCTCAATCCAGAATTCTATGTGTACTGTCACTTGCATGCAGTGATGCTGTAATTCAAGCATGTCAAACTTGCGGCCCGCAGTGTATATGTTTGCGGGCCACCTGCCCTGGGGCCACTTTGGTGCAGGCCAGCCACTCCAGTTTCCCTCCTGCTCGCAGTACTAGAGGAGCGTCTGGCCTGCTTGAGCAGAGAAGAGCAGTGCTGGAACTGGAGGCTCATCTTAAGGTAGGGGAAGAGGGGCTTGGAGGACCTTCCTGTGTAGTTTGTTAAATTGGGGTGGGGGGGGCAGTGTATTACTTTTAGAGAGGAAGGGGGCAGTGCATTAAATTGGGGGGTGGGGAAGTGGGCAGTGTATTAATTTGAGGGAAGGAGGAGGGCATTGTATTAATTTGAGGGAGGAAGAGAGCCAGTGTATTAAATTAGAGAAGTGAGCGGGAGAGTATTAGAGTGGTGGGAAGGGGCGGCAGTGTATTAGAGTGGTAGGAGGATGGTAGTGTGTTAAATTGGGGGGAGGGCAGTGTATTAAATTGGGGGAGGGAGGGGAGAGTATTAAATTGGGGGGAGGGAGGGCAGTGTATTAAATTGGGGGAGGGAGGGGTCAGTGTTAGATTAAGGGGCAGTGTATTAGATTGGGTGGAGGGGGCATTGTACTAGAGTGGAGAGAGAGGGGGGCAGTTATTGGATTTGGGGGCAAAGGATTGGATTTGTAGGCAGTGTATTAGAATGGGTCTGCATGGAGGCGCTGAACACTACTCATGGAGATGCTGATTGGCCGCACAGCTTTTTGCCACACATGCACAATAGCCCCCCAATGTTTTCCTATGGGAAAGCATTGGATTGGCTGATATCATCAAGTTTCATCTCAGCCAAAGTAGATCATCAAGTTTCATCTCAGCCATACTCATAGGACTTCAAAACCAACAAGATAACGTCACTTGTTTTTTACAGCTGTGCAACAGCATACAATCACCATTTCAGTCCCATTACCAAACGTTTCTTAATATGTGAAGGTAGTTTGACTGAAACAGTTAAATGCAAATGCATGTCTCCTTAAAATAAATTTGCTCTTCTGTTTACTTTGAAGCTCTACGAGCATGAGGACATCCAGCATCAGTTAGGTGACTTTTTTTTATACTGTATTTTCCTAAATAAACCTACGTTTCTATTAAAACTGAAGTGTTGTTTTTTTTTGCGGCCCACATTAACTTAAACCTTGTTTATTTGGCCCATGTTAGCCTTTGAGTTTGACATGCATGCTGTACATGGCATAATTGGTACAAAGACACAGTCGTCATAAGAAAAAAAATCTGGGTTATTTATTTGCTAACAATGAGGCAGCCACAATGCATTTATAATGTTTAGTTACCTGTATAGTTTGGCATAATGTTACTAAATTATAGAAAAAAAAAAAGAGCTTTAAAAACATAACAATATCAATCTGTTCTTTAACTGTACAATAGCAAAATGCTACATGAGCTGGAACAAAAGAGAATTTATTTCAGCTATATTGCCAAGGCAACCCAAAGCTAGAGAGCCTTCTATTATTAAGAAAAACATAATACAAAAAGAAAGCATACTTTTTATTTTAGAACATTATACACAATCTGTACTTTGAGACACACTATGGACTATATTTACTTTAAATATTATGCCACTAAAAGAATGAGAGCACAGGTTAGAGAATTTAAGATGGGTCATACATACTTGAGTGAGAGCTTCGTCATTTAAGAAAGGTGGAAGTTCAGTTGTCTGTCGTAGAACTTGGAACAATGTAGCTCTTAAGGCACAGTAGTTATCACCTCTTACTCGCCTAATGGAACAGAAGTGGTGAGCCACTTCCTCATAACCCTGGATAGTAAAACAGTATACAATTTATAAAAAAAAAAGCCAGCAGATAGCAAGTTTAGCATTTTAAACAAGCATGTTAAAATACTCGTATAATGAGAAGCTTCTTGTGGCAAAGACATAGAGCTGTTTTCAGTTATATAGTAATGTATAACTAAGTAAACACATAATATAATATAATAGACCACCTCTAGTTACACCAACACACCGGTTTACTGCAAAAACTGTAATGAAACAAAAAACAACCAACAGGATTGTCGATTGGGAACAATTTACACCAACATTACTATTCGTACTATTGCCAGGGATCCAGACCTGAAACAGAGATGTGTATTATCACTGGGATGATTCCTTGCAGGACCTAACTACATGCCTTTCTAGCCATTTGCAATGGCTATATGTCTGAAAGTTATTTTACAAACAAATGTGTGGGTTTTAGGCGCTTATTTCTTATTAATGTATTAGATATTCATTTATAGCCACTGAAAACACTGTGTGGGTGCTCCAAAATCGCCCACTAAATAGGACATATACAGGTAAACACAATACCAGGTGTTTAAAGTGGTTATTACCCCAAACAACCAATATTTGTAGTGCAGCGCTAGTTTGGATTCAAACTTACTCTTTCAAAATTTCAGGGCAGGTTAGATCATACATGTAAAAAGAAACATAAAACCATATAGTCTAAATCCATAACACAATAAGGAAGATACAGTGGTGTAGGTGAGTGGTATTTAACTCAAATGTTTGGGAGCCTTTAACATACAGGGAGTGCAGAATTATTAGGCAAGTTGTATTTTTGAGGATTAATTTTATTATTGAACAACAACCATGTTCTCAATGAACCCAAAAAACTCATTAATATCAAAGCTGAATATTTTTGGAAGTAGTTTTTAGTTTGTTTTTAGTTATAGCTATGTTAGGGGGATATCTGTGTGTGCAGGCAGTGGTGTATCCTGGTTTTGTGCTGCCCTAGGCAGGACAAAACTCAGGCACCCCCCCCTCCCCCGCGCCACCCCCACCCACGCAACCGCCACCCAACCTTCCCCCCTGCTCCGCCTTCTAAATACACACACATTCACTGACATACGCATTCACTAGCTAACAGAAACACACAGTCACTAAGACACACACTCACTAACAGACACACACACTCACAGGCAAACACACACACACGCTCACAGGCAAACAGACACACACACTAACACTAACATACATACACTAACATACATACACTCTAACACTAACATACATACACACTAACACTAACATACACACTAACATACATACACACTAACACTAACAGACACACACTAACATACACACACTAACATACACACACTAACATACACACACTAACATCCACACACACTAACATCCACACACACACAGACATCCACACACAAACACTAACATACACACACTAACAGACATCCACACACACTAACATACACACACTAACACACACACTAACATACACACACTAACACACACACTAACATACATACACACTAACAGACATCCACACACACACTAGTGCTTTTTTTGTTTTGTTTTTTTATTTAACCCCGGCCCTCCTTACCTTACTTTTAATGCACAGGGGGTTTCTTTGGGTGCTGGGCGGGGATCTGCTCGAAGGCGCGCTGTGTACCGGGTTGCGGATGACTGGGATTCCGCCGTTTCTTCTGTGCGACGCGCTGGCTGGGGTGGGGAGAGAGCCAGGAGAAGAGCTCTACCCGCCGCCCGCCAGCGCCAGCTACTGCCGCCAGTTTAGAATGTCTCGTTAGCCGCGAGGCTAAAGACATTGCCTTGGGTATTTGGGGGCGCGTTTTTGCCGCTTCCCGATCGCTGCGCCTAAGGCAAATGCCTTGTTGCCTTGGCGGCTAATACTTCTGTTGTAGGTGACTATTACTGTGCATAATTATTAGGCAACTTCAAAAAACAAATATATACCCATTTCAATTATTTATTATTACCAGTGAAACCAATATAACATCTCAACATTCACAAATATAAATTTCTGACATTCAAAAACAAAACAAAAACAAATCAGTGACCAATATAGCCACCTTTCGTTGCAAGGACACTCAAAAGCCTGCCATCCATGGATTCTGTCAGTGTTTTGATCTGTTCACCATCAACATTGCGTGCAGCAGCAACCACAGCCTCCCATACACTGTTCAGGGAGGTGTACTGTTTTCCCTCCTTGTAAATCTCACATTTGATGATGGACCACAGGTTCTCAATGGGGTTCAGATCAGGTGAACAAGGAGGCCATGTCTTAAGATTTTCTTCTTTTATACCCTTTCTTGCCAGCCACGCTGTGGAGTACTTGGACGCGTGTGATGGAGCATTGTCCTGCATGAAAATCATGTTTTTCTTGAAGGATGCAGACTTCTTCCTGTACCACTGCTTGAAGAAGGTGTCTTCCAGGAACTGACAGTAGGACTCGGAGTTGAGCTTGACTCCATCCTCAACCTGAAAAGGCCCCACAAGCTCATCTTTGATGATACCAGCCCAAACCAGTACTCCACCTCCACCTTGCTGGCGCCTGAGTCGGACTGGAGCTCTCTGCCCTTTACCAATCCAGCCACGGGCCCATCCATCTGGCCCATCAAGACTCACTCTCATTTCATCAGTCCATAAAACCTTTAGAAAAATCAGTCTTGAGATATTTCTTGGCCCAGTCTTGACGTTTCAGCTTGTGTGTCTTGTTCAGTGGTGGTCGTCTTTCAGCCTTTCTTACCTTGGCCATGTCTCTGAGTATTGCACACCTTGTGCTTTTGGGCACTCCAGTGATGTTGCAGCTCTGAAATATGGCCAAACTGGTGGCAAGTGGCATCGTGGCAGCTGCACGCTTGACTTTTCTCAGTTCATGGGCAGTTATTTTGCGCCTTGGTTTTTCCACACGCTTCTTGCGACCCTGTTGACTATTTTGAATGAAACGCTTGATTGTTCGATGATCACGCTTCAGAAGCTTTGCAATTTTAAGAGTGCTGCATCCCTCTGCAAGATATCTCACTATTTTTGAGTTTTCTGAGCCTGTCAAGTCCTTCTTTTGACCCATTTTGCCAAAGGAAAGGAAGTTGCCTAATAATTATGCACACCTGATATAGGGTGTTGATGTCATTAGACCACACCCCTTCTCATTACAGAGATGCACATCACCTAATATGCTTAATTGGTAGTAGGCTTTCGAGCCTATACAGCTTGGAGTAAGACAACATGCATAAAGAGGATGATGTGGTCAAAATACTCATTTGCCTAATAATTCTGCACTCCCTGTATAGGCTCCAAAGTTGAATACAGCTGTTTCTTGAGGTGACACACTACCCCTCTTGTTCTGGTGGTGATGGTAGTTGGAAGTATGCAACAGGAAAAAATAGTGAAGAAAAAGCTTGTAAGAGTTTATAGCTAAGTTGTGAACTATAACACACACTAGAGAGCGCTCACCTGGTGCAGAGCTTTTCAAAACTGGCTCTGAGTTTGAAGCATATGTGTGTCCTTTCAGGGTGACACAACCCCTTAGTACCTGGTATAGGAAGCTGGGATCCGTGATATTTTAAAGTGCACACAGTGCTCTTTATTTGTCAACAGAGATCAAATGCAGAATCATCAATAGTTTTTAATCTATTGAGCAAACCAGTGACTACAGCTCAGAACTTGGTTTTAAAAAAGGGATTAAAATTTGTATCCACAAAAGAGATGGACAAATCTGAGGTGTACATAGATCTAACCAAATTTAAGAGACAATTATGTCTCAAAAAATGTTTTTTAAGGAATGATAAAACCCTACGGCGGAACCAACACAGTCGTCTTTTCCTCACACCACGCTGAAAGAACAATCCACCTTCTTTCACAAAAACCACATATCAGAGGAAATGATGGGTTTTGAGAAAGCAGTTATGCAAGAAATGTAAATAAAAAAGAATGGCTAGCATTAAAGGAATTACAACAAGACCAACAGCTGGTTATCAAACTTGCCGACAAAGGGGGGTGGGGCGGTATAGTGGTTATGGATAACAACCAATATATTCAAGAAGGTATGAAATTGGTTGGTGACATGGCCACTTACCAGAAACTTCCCGGAAACCCAACCAAAGAAAAAAATCTTTGAGGAAGGTAGAGACCAAGGAATTCTAAATGAGCAATAATTTAGATATCTAAATATATCTAATCCTAAAATACCGGTGTTCTATAACCTTCCAAAGGTCCACAATCACTCTAACAACCCGCCAGGCCGCCTGATAACCTCTGGAATCAACTCGATCTCCAGTAGACTATCGGAGTATATAGACCACTGTCTTCAACCTATATAGCCTGTGGAACACAGAGTTATCTCAAAGATACTTTAAATATTCTACAAGTTTTAAATAACATTGTTTGGAATCCAGAATTCATACTAATTACAGCGGACGTGAGTTCGCTGTTTACTATTATATCACACACTAAGGGAAAAGAAGCAGTTACTTTCTTTTTACAACAATCCCATACATATCCTCAGGAACAAATAGATTTTATTATAAAAGGGATAGATATAATTCTACACAATTTATTTTGGTTACAGAACTAATTTTACTTACAAATCTGCGGCACTGCGATTGGAACAAGGTTTGCACCCAGTTATGCAAATCTATTTATGGCATTTTGGGAGCAGACTTTTATTTTACAGAACGATGACTGGAGTGCAAACCTTGTTTCCTATCGCAGATACATCAACAATATTTTTTCATATGGAAGGGTTTGGAAGAAAGTCTACAACAGTTTTCAGCATTTTTAAATTTTAACAATTGGGGCATTTTTTTTGTAGCTAATTTTTTAGATTTAAATATATACATTGAGGATAGTGAAATAAAAACAAAAACTTATTTTAAACCTGTCGACGTGAACAACTACATTCATCTACAAAGTTGTAATTTTTCCCCATGGTTATTAAATATTCCCAAATCACAATTTCTACGGGTACGAAGAAATTGCACAGATACAAGAATATATGATATTCCAATGCTGACTACCACCCTCCAGGCCATGGGCTTTGGTCCAAACTGGATGCAATGGATGGGAGCCATATACTCTCACCCAACGGCAAAACTGAGAATAAACGGCCAACTGTCAGGTCCGGTACACATAAAGAACGGCACGAGACAAGGTTGCCCTCTCTCCCCTTTACTCTTTATTCTCACCCTGGAACCCTTCCTACAGGGAATACGGGACCACAACACCATCCATGGCTTTAAAGTTCAACAACAAGAATTCAAGGTATCTGCGTTTGCAGATGACCTACTATTTTCCATCACCGACCCGCTCACCTCCCTGCCTCCACTGATAGCCGAACTGACGACATATGCCAAGTTCTCCAACTTTAAGGTCAATTACACAAAGAGTGAAATCCTACCCCTCCAAATGGACAGACAAAAACACAAAACACACTTAAAACCGCGTACCCTTTTGCATGGGCTAGAAGGTCCATCACCTACCTTGGGGTCCATCTACCCAGACACTTGAAACATGCATACGATCTAAACGTCATGCCATTACTCACCGAGATATCAAAAGATCTAACAAACTGGCAGAGACCCGTCTTTAGCTGGCTATGTAGGATTAATATATTGAAGATGAATACATTGCCAAAGGTGTTATATCTCCTACAAACACTCCCCATTGCGATCCCCCCCTCTTTTTTCTCCAAGCTTAAACAAATATTTACAACCTTCATATGGGCGACTAAACGCCCGAGAATAGCTTACACGATTCTGACCAGACATAGGGGAAGGGGGGGCCTAGGCCTACCTCACATGGAACGCTACTATCAAGCGAGTATACTAACCAGAATATACGAGTGGACCGCAGAGCCTCCGCTGAAGCAATGGGTATATATAGAAAGCTCAATGTTCCAATCCCCTCTATGCACAATCCCATGGCATGACAAGGGACACACACTCCTCCTGTCTCAACACTCACAACACCCAACGATCATACCCACACTACGCCAATGGTCGCGCATTAGACCCCAGAAAGACGTCTCACCACACCCCTCACCGCTATATCCCTTGGCACACAATCCAAAGTTCCTACCGGGCACATGCCCGCACTTCTTCTCCCAATTTCCATTGGTCCAAAAGACGAGATACCCGATGGTTAGTACAGTTATGACCCCAACGGGAGTGGCTCCGCTGTCTATACTGGCCACAACAGACCACCCTACTACCAAACAACACTTCCGATACGCCCAGTTGTACCACTTCTTGAAGGGGGATCCACACTTCATTCGGGGAACAAGGGCACACACCACCTTTGAGACCTACTGCACCACACACAGCCTTCAGACCAAACACCTGTCCATTTTCTACAGACTCCTAAGCACTTCAAGTCACACCCTATTGGCGACGTTCACGTCAGCATGGGAAGGTGAGCTAAATATCACTATTCCTCAGGAAACATGGCACAGGATCTTCACGCACACACATAAATCATCTGTCAGCACAGCAGTAAGGGAAAGCACGTACAAAAGGATATCCAGGTGGCATTACTCACCTACCAAGATCCATGCACTCTTCCCAACAGTACCTGATATATGTTGGAGATGCGGGCAAACTAAAGGAACCACGGCACACATTTGGTGGCTATGCCCGCCTATTCAAACCTATTGGCAGAGACTAAGAAGCCTAATAACATCTATCACGGGTTACCAAGTATCACACTCCCCCGAAACCCTCTTATTCCTCATGCACACCACCCACATGCCAAGCCACCTACGCAAACTCATAAACCATATGCTGACAGCAGCGAACATGCTGATACCACTTAAGTGGAAAAGCACTGGGGTCCCATCAGTACGTGAGTGGATACAGAAGGTGGAATTCATACGGACCATGGAAGAATTAAACGCCTCATACTCGAACCACTACAACACATACATTCTAACTTGGCAGCCATGGTTGACCTACCTAGAGCGTTAGAGATACCTAAATGCCACCCTCACCCGACCCATATATTACCTGCACGACCTTCATCCCACCCCCCCTCCTCTCCATCTTGGCTCTACAACACCGAAAGGTACAACCCTACGAGCCGAACCCATACCCCCCAACCAATGTCGGTAATATGCTCTTTACCTGGATTCACTAGAATACTATCCTGTCAAGTTACACAATGTTACAAATGGGACAAAGGGAAAAAATGCGCAAATACTAAAGCCTGTGAATTTTGCGACGATATTTGTTAAGCCGATGTGGCTACTGTTTTATATGTCTTGTAACACCTTTTTCTTTGCGCAATAAAATAAAGATTATAAAAAAAAAATTAAAAAAAAAGAATATATGATATTCAAGCACAAAGATTGAAAAATGAATTTCTGGAGAAAGGGTACAAAGAATCCCCACTCCAAAAAACTATAGAGGAAATAAAAACAGAAGACAGGGCAACACTTTTAGAATATAAGACAAGAGAGAAGGATCCTCAACTGAATAGACCTTTCATCTGCAATTTTAATTCAAACAATAGAGAGATAAAAAGGATTTTAAATAAATTTGGCCGATTTTGAGGGCAGAGCCAGCACTGTACCATCTATTATCAGATAAACCAACTATTATATATAGAGGCGCCCCCAATATAGCTATGAAACTTGTACATAACCACATAATAGATAAAAAACAAGGTACATTTCTACATATAGATGGGTTTTTTGGATGTGGTGTGTGCATAGCCTGTCGACAGACGGGAAGCCCAAAAAGACACATTACCACGTTCAAACACCCCCACAACCAAAAAGAATATAAGATTAAAAATCTTATCACTTGCCATACTGAACAAGTGATTTATTTGCTAAAATGCACATGCAATCTGCACTATGTGGGCAGGACAAAAAGGTCCCTCTATATAAGGATTAACGAACACGTTAGAAATATAAAGAGAGGTTTCACACAGCACAGTGTATCGATACACTTTAAACAAACTCATATTAGTGACCCTAAAATGTCTAACTTTCGTAGCTATTCAGAAAGTAGAATCAAATTGGAGAGGGGAAGACATCATAAAAAAGCTGGGTCAAACAGAGATGCGCTGGATCTTTGACTTACACACCTTAACACCATTAGGTCTAAATTCAGATTTTGAATTGTGCCATTTTTTATGATAACAGTTTTTCAAACCAGAATTTTAATCTAGTTTATTTTTATCTCTTTTTTTTTTATCACTGTAAATTATGTTTTTGGTTGGCAGTTAATACAAGGATTTTTTTTTATCAAGGAGAATGTGCATCTCCATTTTGTTCCTCTCTCTATGGGTGGATCCAACTAATTAATTTAACTATTTTTTAAATAGAATCTATATATTTAAATGAGCTTCAATGATATTTACTAATTTTCAGCTAATTTTTCCCCTTTTTTGATCTCTGATCGGCTTTAGATCCTTGGGGATATATTTAATTATACCTTATTTAGCAGGCAGACTCTGTTATAAATATTCATCTAATATTAGAATGTTAGGTCTGATATATGCACATAGAAACAGAAATAGGCTGTGGACCAATTATATAAATGTGTAAATATACACATACTTGTTTTTGTGTCCTTTTTAAACTTTGATGTCATTTACCATCTTTTAGAATTTACTTTCCACTTTGATCCCTGATCTGTCTTTAGTATGCATTCATACTGCACTTAGAACTGAAACAGGCAGATTCAGTTCAATTTACATTTCTATGGCATATATCTACCTAACATCAGAATGTCAGGGCTGATACATGCATATAGACATAGGTATAAAGTGAAGTATTTATATGCACACATTTATCTTTTGTTCTTACTCCTGTGTCTCTTTATGTAAATTTTCCATCACAAACTTTTCCGAACTTATGAGCGCAAAGCATTGTGGGCGCCGTAGTTCAGGAAGTGATGGGACTTCAACTCACTTTCAGCACACAAATCAGCAAATACAAGCCCTCTGAATATGAAGAGGGAGAGCATGCAACGAGCATCAGGATTGGACGACATGGAAAGAGCTTAGACCCAGTCATAATACCGGAACCCAGAATAGGAATGACAGCTGATTGAGAAAGCCTACAGGATAGGAGTAACGGGTCTCAGCAGTCAGAGGATCTACAAGATATTTGTATCTATTATTTTATACTGATTTTTTATTTTAATCTGTTTTTAACTTTTAAATTCATTTTGCCAAATAAAGAGCACTGTGTGCACTTTAAAATATAACGAATCCCAGCTTCCTATACCAGGTACTAAGAGGTTGTGTCACCCTGAAAGGACACACACATGCTTCAAACTCAAAGCCAGTTTTGAAAGGCTCTGCACCAAGTGAGCGCTCTCTAGTGTGTGTTATAGTTCACAACTTAGCTAAAAACTCACTGCACTTACATGTATGATCTAACCTGCTCTGAAATTTTGAAAGGGTAAGTTTGCATTCAAACTAGTGCTGCACTACAAATATTTGGTGTTTGGGGTAATAACCACTTTAAACATCTGGTATTGTGTTTACCAGTATATGTCTGAAAGTGTTTAATATTGTATTGTTTTCATCTTATGTGCATCTTCATGTGTTTTAAGTCACGGCTTGACAAATCCCAAGCAACTAGAAATGTTGTTATGGCACCTGGAATTTTGTGGGGGTGGGGGCCAGGGGGGGAGGACAGTAGGTCCCCCCCCTTATTGTTTTACTAGGCCCCCACCCACCGCGCAGGGGTGGGGGCCAGGGGGGAGGACAGTAGGTCCCCCCCCCTATTGTTTTATTGGGGCCCCCACCCAACGCGCAGGGGTGGGGGCCGGGGGGGAGGACAGTAGGTCCCCCCCCCTTATTGTTTTACTAGGGCCCCCACCCACCGCGCAGGGGTGGGGGCCAGGGGGGGGAGGACAGTAGGTCCTATATCTTTATTTAGGGCCCCCACCCACCGCTCAGGGGTGGGGGCCAGGGGCCAGGTTCCCCCCATCTTTATTTAGGGCCCCCACGGGCATGGGGGGAGTGTGGGGGGGGGTTATTAGTTTTGTTTTGTTTTTGTTTTTTACAGTGAGCAGCTATAAGCTGCTCACTGCTTACTACACATGCCCCTACTCGCGGTATAGCGAGTAGGGGCATTTAATTTACTAATACTAAGTAATCTTTACTTAGTATTAGTAAATTTGGCTGAAAGACCAATTTGTCTTTCAGCCTTTTAGTAGATAACTCCCTGATACCGTGGGAATTAGGGAGTTATCTACTAAGCGGCTGCAAGATGCAGCCACAGCAATGAATAGGATCAGAGTTTCATTCATTAGAATGAAACTCTGATCCGAATAAAGTGCCGAATTGCGTTCTAAAAGAAACGAACATACTGTTGTCATTCAGTTAGAACACAATTCGGCAGTTTTGTGGAAAGTGACAGGAAGCATTGTGGGAACACAGAGGGAAGGTAAGGATCATGGGAAAATTGCTCTGACCAGCGGAAATGAAGCACACTTTGCTCCTCCGCTGGTCAGAGCTGGTCAAGCGGAGGAATCCTCCATAAGGCAAAGAGTCCCTTCTTTGTCTTATGATTTTATAGAAAATTAAAGAAGACAGGAAGAAAAGAATAACAGATCCTGAGAGAGGGGGAGAAGAGGAAGAGATTGAGGAAAGGTAAGTTCGGCATGACAGTGCCGCTTTAATGATACTAGGAGCTGACAGTTTATTCTGATATTTAATCAGCAATTTTAGCCACTTTTTAGTGTAATTGGTGAGCAGGGTTTTTGCACACTCTGTTTCCTAGGCAGGATTTCTGGCGGGAGGCTGTATAGACCAGTGTTTAGGGATTTGCAGGCTTTATTTAAGGGGTGCCCACGAAGGCACAAGCACTTAGGGACTTTGAGAATTACTCAGGAATTTCTCCACTATTGTGGTCTTAAACCCACACTCTCTCTGTGATTTATATTCCTGCATAGCGATATTAATAACCCATTCTGGTTCTCCCTCCCACACAACAATACATGGTCTGAGACACCAACAGGTATACAGTTTACTTTTTATTGACACAGCGTGTTATATACTATTTTGTACTCGAGACTGCAATATTGTGCCGCCAGGCAGATTATTGTACCGCTTTACCTGCAGCGGGTTCAGGGCCAGATTAACAGCCCAGTGGGTCTGGTGCTGACAATTATGACGGGCCTAATTAAAGAATCATATCGACCAAAAACACTCCCAAGCATCATGTATCTGATGGAGATGGTGCTGGAGAGAAAGAAAACAGCAGCTATAAGAAAACACATACCCTATGCTAATCTCCCTCTAATTTATGTTTTCATCTTTCAAGTAAACCCCATAACCCCTAACAGCAGTGTCCAGTCAAGCAGGAAGTCAATGGGCATGGTAAAAAGGTGTGCCACTGACACAAATCACGTAACTTGCTAAAAGGGGCGAACATGCCCAAAAAGAGGACATGTCTGCCCAAAGAATTAGAAGGCGACCTCGGCATGAATGCATGTCAGACTGTCTGCCAATCATGCAGGTGGCCAACTAAGGGCATACTATGCAGACACCACCCTGAGCTTGGCATAAATGCATCTAATGATGCGCTCGCTCAACACTTTCTAAGGACTGTCCCCTAGCACTCGCCGGTCCGCTTGTCTCCTTACCTTCTTACTAGCAGGCAGACGCTCCTGGTATATAGTCTGGGACAGAGAAAAGCTGTGTGTAGTGAGTGAAGAAGAAAGGGAACATGCCACAGTGTTAGAGAGACCAAAGTCGGCATTACCTTAAAGGATCACTATAGGGTCAGGAACACAAAGATGAATTCCTGAACCTATAGTGTTAACACCACCATCTAACCCCCCTGTGCCCCTCATGCCTCCATAAATATAGTAAAAGTCTTACTGTATTCAAGCCTGAAGCTGTAACTCTGCATGCTGTTAGACTCAGAAAAACAAGCAGTCTGCTGACATCATTAGAAGTGGTGGCCTGATCCAATCACAGTGCTTCCCCATAGGATTGGCTGAGACTAACAAAACGGCAGATCAGGGGCAGAGCCAGCATGATTCAAACACAGCCCTGGCCAATCAGCATCTCCTCATAGACATGAATTGAATAAATGAATCTCTATGAGGAAAGTTCAGTGTCTGCATGCAGAGGGAGGAGACACTGAATGTTTGGATGCATTTTAGGTAGCCATGACCCAGGAAGGATCTCTAACAGCCATCTAAGGAGTGGCCAGTGAAGTGATCACTAGGCTGTAATGTAAAGACTGCATTTTCTCTGAAAAGTCAGTGTTTACAGCAAAAAGCATGAAGGTAATGATTCTACTAACCAGAACAAATTCAATAAGCTGTAGTTGTACTTGTGACCATAGTGTCCCTTTAACTATATTCATTGTCAGCCAGTCCACACAAGTTTTGTTCCCATACATCCCTCTTAAGTTTCCATACTTAAGTAAGAGTGTGTGAAAAGTAGTTAGGGTTGTCACCTTTCTTGGAAAAACATACTGGCCTTACTAATTTGCATAATTAAATATGTATGGGTGACATCACATGATGTAAATCACAAGGAGTGACATAAGAGAAAATGCTGTAAAATCACCAAAAAACTACTTAGTTTGATTATGCTGTATAGATGGATTCCTCCCAGTGCCCCCATGTGTCGATTACTCCAGGTCTCAGCATTCCTATGTATCAGTATCTCAGTGCCCCATGTCTCCCAGTGTCCCCTAGTGTCGTGTCCCCAGGTCTCCCAATGACCCTATATATCACAGTGCCCTTATGTATCACAGTGTCTCAATGCCCCATGTCTTCCTGTGTCCTCCAGTATTCCCATGTGTCTATATCCCCATGTATGTGTCATTAGGACACTAGGAAGACGGGGAGCTCTGGGGACACAGGGAGACCTAGGGACACAGAGACACAAGTGACACTGGGAAACTAGGGGACACTGGCTGGGACACATGGGGACGCTGGGAAAACAGGGGACACTTGAAGACATGGGGACACAGACACTAGAGACACTGGCTGGGGGACATGGGGACATTGAGACATGTGGGCACTGGGAGACATGGGGACACTGAGACACCAGGGCCACATACACTAGGGACACTAGCTTGGAGACATGGGGACATTGAGACACTTGAGGCACTGGGAGACATGGAGGCACTAGGAGACATGGGGACAGTGAGACGCTAGGAGACTAGTGGTCACTGGGAGACTAGGGGCACTGAGACACCAGGGACACTGGCTGGGAGACATGGGGACACTGTGTCCCCATGTGTCTGTGTCATAATGTCTCCCAATGTCCCTAAGTGTCTCAGTGGATGTCTCCTTGCAGCCTTTCCCCCATCCCTTACTTCCCTGAGCTGTAGGCCGTCTCTGCAGGGTGGGAGTTGCTGTCTGGACTCTCTGTAGCTGCACCCCTGCAGATCAGTGAGTATAGATAGACAGGGAGGCATATGCTGGAACTTCCTATCCCTGCCTGTCTCAACACACAGCGACCCCTACTGGCCAGTCCTGGTATTGCATAGTAATCTCTTGTTTATACTGAGAAAAATACCAGCATTTGTATTGCAAATATCACTGCAAAATAAAAGCCAGGTGGAATCCCTAAGAGTAGTGTGTGAAAAAATAAATAAAAAAAAATTTATTTTTTTAAATCAATGGGCCTATTCCATGGGCCTGGGCCTGGAGCTGCAGCTCCATCAGCCCCTATATTAATCCGGCCCTGAGCGGGTCCACTTATTGGATTGAAATAATCCTTGCAATTACACTATCTCCGTTTTAACGGAGACGAGCTAGGACAAGTTATACTAATTAGTGTTCTTAATGTGTGCTCTTGTGGTATTACTTTTTTAGTATTAAAAGTTAAGTTTTATATTTAAAGTGGCACTATTTGTACCACTGACTGTCCCCCTCCCTTTTAAGGGACTTACACTCTTCAGGACACTCTACCATAATTCCTTTTCTCCTGTTTTTTTGTCTCTTCTTGTTGTTTACTTATTCATGTTTGCATCAGTATGGGACAGTTACTGTGTATCAACGAAAGGTGGAATGCAAAATGGCCGCCATTTGGAACACATACATCGCCTGGAAGTGATAAACTGTAAGTGACAAACCGGAAGTGACGTCACACGGCTCTGATACCCGCGAAAATTAATTGAGGAATCCCTTGAAACAGCTGGACAGTGAGGATAACGCCCCCTGGACCACCAATAGGAAGAAAAGCTAGCCACATATAAGGAATGACTGGGGAGGGAAGGGTTATGCTGCTATTTTGTCCTTTTGTTAGGATATTTTTATTTGTTTTCATTATTGTATCCCTGAAGAAGTCTTTGTCAGACGAAACATGTTGGACCACATTTGGTTTTTTACTTTTTATACATACTAAATAAAGCAGATTTCTTAACCATTTCCTGAGTCCGGACTGCCATATTGTGGCGATACCATCAACCAGCTGAGAGGGAGTTCTGGAAATACCCCCCATATATCTAAGGGGAGGCACCCTAAGGCAATTTTACTATCTACATCTTGTGAGTTCCTCTTATATTTGCGCAGTTCTTATGTTTGTTTACAATATCACACTATTGTGTTATGTTTTGTTTCTGTCGATTACCAGCTATACTCCTCTGCTATCTATATACATTTTCCTGATAGAATTAACCTAAAGTTTAAGCAGCAACAGAAGAAGCAATGACAGGGGTGCAGTAAAAAACTTAATGAAAACGATGACATGTAAACAATATGATCGCTCCAATTTTCAGCCATTGACTAATGAACTTGTGTAGCAGTTATTTTTCTTTTGAATTTGTGGATGTAGCACGGGTATTAAGTTCTGAGATATCCTATTTGCCACATGTGTTAAAACGTTTTGAATAGAATCAAAAAATCTCCACCGCTGGCAATTCTATGGTCTTACTGGTTACAACTCATATGAGAAGACGCGTAATAACATAATTAAAATTAGGCAGGTGTTAAGAATGCTGTAAAGTATTAGGATATTGGTTTATTTTAAACAAACTGCAAAGTGGGTGAATTAAAGAAAAATCAGAAATCAAAGAAGTATTTGGTTTGACCACCCTTTGCAATCTAAACAGCAACATTTGTTTCTAATTACTCTTCCACAAAGAGAGATTTTCTTGACAATTAGGTGCAGCGAAACCCGCCAGGCAACCTTCCAGAGGCAAACTCCCATCAAGGCACCAGAATCTGTTAACATCAGGGGGAGTCCCAGAATACAAGATTGGAGCACAAACTACCCACAACGAAACCACAGGTACCCACAACGACAAAAGAACAATTCCATACCGACAAGCCTGCCTGACTGGCGAGTCGCTCAATCCCCTTACTCCACTGTTGCCCGGGCCTCATAACGTGCCTCCATTCAGGTCCCATCACCACACTTTGTCCTCCTAACCTGGAGTACCAAATACATAGGACACGCAGGGAAAGTATAATCCAGTATAATTTAGAATTCGCTAGCACTTCTGATCATTTGATGCTTAGATTACACATGCTAGATTGAATGTTTATTGTACCTTTCCTGATGCTACATAACTGCACTAAACGTGCTTACACTATAACAGTACGCTGAATAACTGTTGAAGCTAATTGAAATATTTTACTGCAGTATTCTTGTTTTACTCTTTCCCAACTAAAAAATGTGCCTGACTATTGATAACCACAACCTGTAAAAAGAATGTGTATAATCATACTCTGATGTCGCTGTTGTGGCGCACCAGGGCTTACTGTTCCTTCTGTGCACACCAAAATAAAGAACTAAAAAAAACAAAAAAACAAACAAACAAAAAAAAAACTGGCTCCAAACTTTTTTACCTGGCTTTTAGATTCCAATCAAATTTGTCAAGCCCTGCCTTAAAGGGACACTGCAGGCAGCCAAACAAGTTAAGCTTAAATTAAAGCTAATAAGTGCAAACACCTGTGGTTAGTTTCTTTTCTATCAATTCTGTGTAGTTTTCCTGCAATATGCAGTAAAATGTTTTGCCGGTTTCAGCAGTGTAACCCAGCCTCTGTAGCCACACCCTCTCAAATTTCTACATGTTCCTTATTCCAAGTCCCTGAAAGAAACATACCTTTTCCAGCCAATGAAAATAGAGACATGTCTCCTGTAGTGTAAGGAATGCTCATAGCACAGACCGTACTGCAGAGACAAGGCTAGAACCCGTATCTGCTATTCTCCCTCTCTACCAGTAATGCAAGTAATAAATTCTCCTCCAGCCCCGGTCAATCAACCACACTGCCAATTGTTAACTCCTTCTCATCTAGTCTCAGTCAGCCATCCTCATTACCCACTGTGAACTTCTTCTCCTCCGTTCCTTGTCAGTCAACCTTCCTACCCCTGTTAACCAATCCCTGTCAGCCAACCCCCTACGCATTGTTAACCCTTCCCTGCCAGTCCATGTCAGCCAACCTTCCTATTCACGGTTAAACCCTTCCCTACCAGTCCATGTCAGCCAACCTCCCTACCCACTGTTAAACCCGTCCCTGCTACTCCGCCAGCCAACCTCCCTACCCAGTTAACCCTGTCCCTGCTACTCCCAGTCAGCCAACCTCCCTACCCAGTTAACCCCGTCCCTGCTACTCCCGGTCAGGCAACCTCCCTACCCACTGCTAACCCTGTCAGCCAACCTCCCTACCCAGTTAACCCTGTCCCTGCTACTCCCTGTCAGCCAGCCTCCCTACCCAGTTAACCCTGTCCCTGCTACTCCCTGTCAGCCAACCTCCCTACCCAGTTAACCCCGTCCCTGCTACTCCCTGTCAGGCAATCTCCCTACCCACTGCTAACCCTTCCCTGCCAGTCCTTGTCAGCCAACCTCACTATCCACTGCTAACCCCTTGCCCTCCAGTGTCTGTTCATCAACCTCCCTAGATATAAATAGCGCGAGAGAGAGAGAGAGAGAGAGATTACAAACTCTATGGGTATTTATGAGTTTGTCTGCTTCTTTATATTTATTTATAATAAACATATGACACTATATGATACCTAATGTGGTGAGGAAATGTTTGTGTGTGCGTGTGATGTGGTATGTAATCTCTAGTGTCTGAATGATGTATTTGTAGTGTAACTTAGGTTAAGTACTTCTTGGGTAGGCATTGTGGGCATGTGTTGAGTGATGTAAATTGCACCACAAAGCTCCGGCACGCCGGGAAAAGCATGTACAATCAGAGGAGGAGCAGAAAATCTGATCAAAGTAAAGATTATAAGAGGCACTTCTAAAGCAAATTTTTACACTATTTGGGGGGGGGTTTAGTGACAGTAGGTTTAGTGTTGGGTGTGAAAAAAAAGGGACATGCATTGTTTTTTTACCTATACAGTTCCTTTAAGGACCAAGGGGTTGAGATGAGACACTTCGTGATAAATGCATTTTTGGTACATTTTTCTATCACAATTTCACCGTTAGGTGCACCTATACATACATATTACAAAAGCTTGTCTTACCCTTGTCATTTTTGCTTTTTTATTTGCGGTTTGTGCAATTTGCATCTTTCTCATTTATTGCACCAACACACATTATATACCGTTTTTTTATGGGGCAAAAAGGGCTTTAACCCTTCCCGATCTCGGACGTACTAGGTACGTCCGACAAAAATGGTCCTTAGGGACCTCGAATGTACCTAGTACACCTGAATATTCCTATTTACTTACCCGATCACCGCAGTTCCCCCGCCGGCGATCGGTGTTCCTCTCCTTCTGGGGGTGGGGGGGCTGTCCTTGGCAAATTAGGACCCCGCAGGCCATTTAATAGCTCTGAAAGAGCGGTCACATGACCGCAATATTCATCCATAGTGCTGCCTGCAGGGGGACTGCCAGAACTGACAAAAATTGTTAATAAATAAAGAAAATACCTTTAGAAGGCCTAAAGAGTCTAGGATTTAAACTGATTTTATAATTATAAAACAAATATTGCAAGGTGTGAAATATGGTTTTAAAACTAAAACTTTGCAAAATTTGGCATACTGAGCTTACAACTTTTAAAGTAATTACAGAACCCAAAACTGCAACACAAAAGAATATATCTGTAGAAAGAACATCCACCAGGAAGAAGTCCTAGAGTGCTGGTAAACAGTATTGAATATAGTAGTGAAGTCTTGCCAATTTTTGGAAAGGTGGTGAGGGCTGATAGCCAGTTCACACATAAGTTGACTAGATCACTTTCAAGCAAAATCTAAACTGGCTGAGAGAATGCCTGGATTTTTTCTTGTTTAGTTCATAGCTTTTAGAAGAGAAGTTATCTACATAACAAACAGAGCTGTGTTCTCGCATTTGGATAACCTAAGCTGCTTAAAAGGACACCATAGGCACCCACACCACTTAAGGTTTAATGTTCCTGTCCCCTTTAGTCTTGCAATGTAAATCATTGCAGGTTTTGAGAAACTGCAAGGCTAAGACTTCCTCTAGTGGTTGTTCGACAGCCACTGGAGGCAATTCCTGGAGGCTAACCGACTTTTTGTCTCCTGACACTGGACATCCTCAAGCTTTGCATGAGGACTTTAAGCGTCTGTAACATCTCCATAGGAAAGCATTGAAGCAATGCTTTCCTATGAGGGGGCCTAATGCACTTGTGTTGCTTATTTTGCATGCACTTTAGCCCCCTGCTCCCTTGTTTGGTGATGTCTGGCACTGACCCAGCACCGAGAATGATCAGCGCTGGAATCGGGTGAGAAAACAAAGATTTTTTTTAAAAAAAATTTAAAAACCCTTTCCATGCTGGAGGGAGGGGACCAGTGAAGGAACAATAGTGTAAGGAATACAACTTTGTCTCTGAGATACAGCGTGACAGCCCCAATTCTGATCTTTTGTCTATCTCATTGTTTCCCAGGTGTCACACTTCTCAAAGCCACTAGCACTTCTCATCAAAGGTGCAGCAAAAATGCATTAAAATTCAGCACATGATTAGACTACATCTAGCATGTACAGAAAGCTGTATCAACCTCTCCAGGACAAGTTTAGTACAAGGATACTATTCTAGCAGGTTATAGCATGTCATCTGTCATAAAGGGTTTTATCACATTTTTGGTTGCATGTTTACCCATAGCTATTACAATTACTATGTAACTTAAATTAAGAAAATAAACCTCAACTGGATTTGCCTATCACACACTATGTACAACAAAATGATGTTTGGATATTTCTATCACAATGTACCTTCTTCATTACTTTGGCTGCATTGGTTTTGCCCCTCCATTCTCTGCTGCAATACTCCACAATATCCATTTCCGGTTCCACTCCAACTTTACGATCCTCTGAAAAAGTTAAATACTTCAATACAAATGTCATAATGTCTATTATACATAGAGGTTTACAGGTGTGTTTTTGGGACTGCCAAATGATTCTTTAACTGTTTGCATCCAATTAGATTTTTATATATATATAAAAATCATATGATATTTATGACACCCAAATACACCACTCACTGCTTAGAAGTTTATATAATCATGTGATTTCCAAGAAATAAAACATGTGAAAAATAAGAACGACATCCAGCATTTTAATAACACATTTTAGTATGGAGTTAACACTATGAAATTTCATAAACTATCCACCTTACCAACATAAACCATTGGGAGGGAACAATAAGTGTACCAGTAGCTAATTAAAACAAAAATAGCATTTCATAATAATATTAATAAGATAGAAATAAAAACATTTCAGCTCTTGGTTCTCCCCTGGATCAGCAGGGATAGGTACCACTCACAATAAAAAGGTAAGAAAGTTAAAAAAAACAAAAAAAAAACTATTGGCATTTATTTAGCGCCAACGTTTTCCATAGTGCTTTACAATGTTACAAATAGGGAAACTTAATAAATGAGACAATTACAAAATGTTACAGGAACAATAAGATGATGAGGAACCTGCAAAACAAACTTACAATATAAATTCAATGCAATTTTGGTATTGAGTCTTTAGATAGGAGATTGATACAAAATAGGGTATCTGTCATTCATGGGTTGGGCTAATGATACTATTGACAAGTTTCATATTCCATTTAGAAATATATTAAATAAATGCCTCAACACTCACTTTTAAAGTACAAAACGTTACAGAAAGCAGTAGTCTGGAGTTTCCGGCATGAAGAATATAGATGAAGTTGCTCAATCAACTTGAAATAAACAAGTATATGGAATATGAAATTTCTCATTTATTTGGTCCCCACTTTGAAAAATAAAATAAAAAGTAGTGAAACATTATGAAAGAGATAAGGTGCAACTTTTTTTTTGCAAAGCCCACACATCTCATATTGTCATAAAATTAGGGTGACATATTTGTATACTGGGTATTTTGAATGATCTTTTACAATGGTAAAGTGACAACCGTAGTTTGAGGTCCTCAGATTGTCCATCCATGAGAGGGAATAAACTCTCTTATCTCCCACTTTGGATTATATAGTGCAATCAGTTCATAAACTAGCTATTAACAAAGAACAATTGTTATGAACTATCTAGTAACGATTGCAGAAAACATATTGTACCTTTAGAGATCTTGTCATAAATGATGGGGATTTTATTAGTCTTTTCTTCTTCGATTTCTTCTATACTTTGATAAAGATCTTCTTCACTGCAGATTAAAAAAGATTTAAAGATTTATTTAAACTGTAAAAAGTACTTGTTACAAACCAAAAGCATTCCACATAAATGTAAGAATACCAAAGACAATTTAGAAGTTTATTCATAAATTTTAGTCATGTCTCAGGCGGTGATAACTAGAATTTCTTAATCTCTGTGCCATGGCCCATAAATGGTTCTTTTGTGGCGTTTTATTAGGTCCTTGTACTTGAAGCTGTTAAAGTGTGAGGAGATCTCAGGCACCACCTTACCTCAACGGATTAACCTCAATGTCTGCAAAACTAAGCAAGATTCCAATGCAGGTCTGAGGCTTCAATCACTTCAAAGTGTATAAAACCTACACCTTAAGTGGAGCACTTAATACAAAATATATTAGGTTAGCAGTACTTTTGATTTATTTTTCATTAATATTTGTTTTCTTTTTCTTTTTATGCTTTCCCTTTCTTATTACATTCATTTGCCCTTTCCTTTTCCCCTTTTAAAAAAGGCGCCTACACTGTGTTTTGTTCCTCACCATGGTGGAAAAGGAGGTACTGTGCCTGTCCTGCATGTCCGGAGGGCATGTGATTGGCAATGTCATTCCAACCCTGTCCTGACATTCCGACGGCCAGACGCAACGGTTCCTGTAACACCTCCCCCCCACACACACACCTTTGCCCCTCTTAAATAATAAGAAAACGGACCTTATTTCCATGGGGAACATGCCCCACCCCTGATCTGGCCCCTTGGCTGACAACAATCAATCACCATAGGAAAGCATTGGTGTGGCTGACATTGTCAATTCTGATGCTGTCGGCCAAAGAGGCAGACTGGGGGATAGAAGGGGTGGGGTGTGGGGCCTGGTGGGAGGGTGGTTGGGGGAAAATGATGCTCTAGCCTATGAGCATCTTCTCATGAATCAATGCATCTCTATGGGGAGCGTGGAGACACTGAACAGCTGGAGGAGTTTCCACTGGAGGTGTTCCTAGGCAGCAATGTAAACACTGCCTTTTCTCTGGAAAAAACAAAACAAAAAAACAAAACACAAAAAAACCAAAACAGTGTTTACATTAAAAAGCTTGCAGGGACTGACTATATTTATTATAACAAGTACAATAAGCTGTAGTTGTTCTCGTGACTATAGTGTCTGTTTAACCTTTTTGAGGAGTGCAAAATAACCTCTTACAGATTCCACAGCTACAGTCCCCAGATGCCTCAAGCCAAATTATTTGAGCTCTTGTCACTGAAGCCCCAGCTATAATGATGCCCAAAAACATTGTGTGAAGTCTCTACCTTTTTATCCATCTGTTTGAGAGTTTAAATTGGGTTTCCGTAAGATTTAGGCAGTGTACATGTTTATTAAGTATATTTAAAGAGCACATCCACTCTTCTTCTATTTGTACTTGTAGTTCCTTTTCCCATGTATTAATAAGTTCTATCGGTTTATCGTGTCTCCATCTATATGTAACATTAGCGCATTTTGCCCTTAGGTTTTTATAGCTCTTTAATTCGAGTAGATGTTTGAGGATTGTCATTTTCTCTTCCTCGTTTTGAAGGAGATATTCTGCTAAAAGGCCCTTAATTCGCAGAAAGTTAAAAGTGTTCTTGGGGGGAATGTTGAATTCCTCCATAATTTGATTGAAGGTTTTAATTTTATGTTCCACCAGCATATTTTTGAATGCCCTTATCCACCCAGTCTTCCAAGTGTCTATTTTTATGTTGTCTAACATATCTGAAATACTAGAAAATGGAGCACATCTATTATTCTATTTCTGGGTCCTATGTTGTTTGAGAATTTGTCCCACCAACTCGTTAACTCTTTGAGTATCTGAGATTTAGTTTGTGCCTCTTTGATTGATTTTGTTTTATTTATTTTTTTATACATATAGGTCCTAATATAATGACGTTAAATGTCCTAACCCGGTTTTAGCTTTTTCCATTTTATACCATGTTTCTTGGATTGCAGCAAAATTTTGTGAAAGCAATATATGGAAAAGTCTGCTAGCTTGATAGCATTGTAAAATTTCCAGGCACCCCAAGCCGCCATCCTGCCTTGATCTAGTCAAATTTTTCATTTTAATACTTGCTTTCTTGTCGCCCCATACAAATTAAAAAAGGATGAGTGAAGTTAAGATAACCAGTTTTCTGGGAAATTAAGTGGGATCATTCCCCATAGGTACAGCCATTGTGGTAAAATATATGCTTTTAGGATATTGATCCTCCCGACCAGGAAAATCCCACACCTTTCCAGTCCCTTAAATTTTTGTTAGTTTGGGTTAGTAAGGGTAAAAAGTTGGCTTTTACTAGGTCTTTTAAACCTGAGGTTAGTGTTATACCTAGATATTTTAGCCTGTCCTTGTTTTCTGTCCTTTTGATTTATATGATTTTTACTGTCCATTATGTAAATTCATTCTAATTTGTGTAAACTTAAGAGGAAGATAATTTTCTTTCATTTTGTGCGTTACTTATCTTAAGTGCCTGTTTAATCAATTTTCTAAAATATTCTACATTTCTCTATTTTAATTTCTTTGTTTCCCCTAGATTCTTATTTATGCTTTTTTATATCTCCCTCATATCCCCTTATTTTATTAACTAAAAATAAATATATATATATATATATATATATATATTTTTTTTTTTAAATCTGTGATATCTCTTATTTCATGTGTGATTCTCTTTTCGTTTTCCTTTGTTAAAAGGTTGTGTCACTAGTGCCATTTTTTCTTTTCTCTTCCCTCTAGTATTTGGGACCTCCCCCTTTGTTGACTAGTGATTGGAGCCATTTCCAATTTGTCAAAGTGTGTGCATCTTAAACATGAAGAGGTGTGATCTTGATAACAAGGGGTGGGAAAAATTTACATTAAGGGGTGCCAGAGTTTAGATTAAGGGGTGCCTAGGGCAGCACAAAGCCAGAATACACCACTTTTAATTATGTGCTAGTTGGGCCTTGGACTCTCCTTTATCCTGCTGCCTCTTCTGTCAGCATTTTTATTTTACTGCAGTTGAAACACAGCATGATCTTCAAGCTGGCTACAACAGATTGCCACTATTACCTTTCATTTAAAGTGTATTACCGGCACCTAGTAAGAGAGTAGGGCCTGAAGACACCAACCAGATCCTGTGGCACCCAAACAATATCATCCAACAGCAACCTATGCACATCCCACCTTCAACCTGAGGAGATCTAGTTATCCACCTGTCCTGCACATCGTTCAGGCATTACCTGCACTTTTTAGACTGAGGCCTTTATGGTATATGGTGAGGTTACTGTGGGTGGAATTTACTAATTTACGTTTCATAGAAACATAGAATGTGACGGCAGATAAGAACCATTCGGCCCATAGTCTGCCCAATATTTAAAAATACTTTTAATTAGTCCTGGCCTTATCTTACGTCTAGGAAAACCTTATGCCTATCCCACGCATGCTTAAACTCCCTCACTGTGTTAACCTCTACCCCTCCATGCATCCACTACGCTCTCAGTAAAGTAATGCTACCCCTCTAATTTAAGACTATGTCCTCTTGTTGTGGTAGCTCTTCTTTTAAATATAGTTTCCTCCTTTACTATGTTTCTGGTCTTTAGATAGACGACCAGTCCATCGGCAAAATGATTACACATTTGTGTACAGCTGGTATATGGCAAGAAAAAGTAGTTTAGTTCTAATCATCACATATTGATTTATATTGATTCCTCGTGCTCACATCAAACATTTTGGGTTGGATGGCAATGCTTGCTAACCAGCTGCATGTGCATGCACAAATGCTTTTCAAGCAGTCTTTGTGATTAACACACAGTTTCCATTCACAGCTGAATGACAATTGAGAATACAATCTTTGACAAGTTCCTTTCAGTCTTAAGACAACATTTTAAAGATTGAAGTGAATTTTAAGAAACTTGTTTATGTTTATTTTCCTGTAGTAGTAAAATAGTTTATCAGCTTATGTGATATTTCAGTTTTTTAAAAAAGTTTTCAAAAATGAAAACTTTTTTTGCTTTGACATTATTTTTTTGCTTTGACATTATGACGTACTGAGTGTAGATGAATGTAAAAAAAAAATAAACCATTTAGAAGCCTATATATATATATATATATATATATATATATATATATATGAAAGGGAAAAAAAATATGTAATTTAGATTGGACCCATGTGATTTAAAAAAACTTTCTGGGAGTTAATTTTTTTTTTTTTTAATAAGCTGTGGTATTTTTGCAGCAGTTAGGATATGCAAGATTAAAAAAAATAAAAATTAACTCCCAGAAAGTTTTTTTAAATCACATGGGTCCAATCTAAATTACATATTTTTTTTCCCTTTCATTTTTATTGAATGAGGATGCACCGAACATCATTTACACACAAACACATTACAGAGATAGGGTGTCCTCAATAAACAAAGCTAGCATAACTAAATTAAGTGGATTGCAGACACAGCTCAACTTCTTTACCACCACTATGTAACTCAGAACTCCTAGAACTAAGAGGAGCAGAAAGGGGCAGAAGTGGAGGTTAGGTGGTATCCGTGGTAGGCTGAGAGGAAGGCTTATGTTACTGCCAGTTATTGCCTGTGATAGTCGTCCCACTTTGCCCAGATTTAAGTGAATTTAGAGGAACGGCTTTGTATTCTATGTGCCACTTTCGCAAAATATCTGGTAGATGCAACAGAGCTCTTCACCATCTGGAGGGGTGGTATCGTAGTCATTTTCAGTGCTTAGCTGTGGTATTTTTGCAGCAGTTAGGATATGCAAGATTAACGGTTGAGTGAGGTAAGGGATGGAATTTGGGAGCATTTCAAGGAGTAGACACGCAATGAGGTTTGTAACCGCTTTTCATAGTGGCTGTACTAGGGGGCAACTCCAGAACATATAAAATGTGGTCTCTTTGTGTGCATTGCACCTTCAGCATACATCAGAAGTTCCTGGGTAGATATGGGCCAGTTTTGCTGTCCTGCTGCTCTCCCAGTGAGACATACGTTTGGAAACACCTCTCATGTTAATAGCTGCTCGTTGCCAGTCTTCCTACGGTATCGTTAATTGAAGTTCCTTCTTTCATTGTGTAATATAAGCGGGGGCCGCTGGGTTGAGATTAATAATTTTTTGATGAATCTACCAGAAATTCTGTAATACAATTTAATTAGATTTGCTTTTACAATTCCTTCTTCCTAGTAATATGTCTCCCTGCACAGAGTGGCTTATTTACACCCCCCCAGAGCGGATATATCAAATGAGGACATTTCACTTCCTCATTTTCAGTATTAGAATCATTCCAAATTGTGTTTGGCATACACACACACTACTAGAAAGACCTCTTTCTTACGGTTAAGAAATAATTATTAAAAAATGATGATATGTATAATACAAAAAGCATTACATTAACAATGAGTCCTTTTACATCGTTGTTTGGTAGTGAGTGTCAATTAATGATGTTGAAACACTCATGGCACATTTTGAACAATGCAGATTAAAAATGGCTACATACATGGAAACATGGCTAAGACAGCCTCTTGGAAAATAAAATAAAAAGCCTAGTTCCCCAGACCAAAAAAAAGTGCATGACACTTGATGTAGACCTGAAGAGTGCCCAATATTTAAGTAAAACAGGGAAGGATCCCAAACTATTGGACAGATCTGGGGTAGTCAACCTTTTTCTACCTACCGCACACGAATGCATCTTTCTTGATGGAAAAATTTCCTTACCGCCCACCAGTTTTCGTGCAAGTGCGGAATATTTTTTTAGAAAGGAGCGTGTTTTTATCTTTTTATTTCTACTTTATGCATGTTTATAATGTTTTTAACTTTATAATGTTTAAAGGGACACTATAGTCACCTGAACAACTTTAGCTTAATGAAGCAGTTTTGGTGTATAGAATATGCCCCTGCAGCGTCACTGCTCAATCCCTTGCCATTTAGGAGTTAAATCCCTTTGTTTATGAACCCTAGTCACACCTCCCTGCATGTGACTTGCACAGCCTTCCATAAACACTTCCTATTTAGGCTTTCTTTATTGCAAGTTCTGTTTAATTAAGATTTTCTTATCCCCTGCTATGTTAATAGCTTGCTAGACCCTACAAGAGCCTCTTGTATGTGATTGAAGTTCAATTTAGAGATTGGGATACAATTATTTAAGGTAAACCAGTTTTTTTTTTCATGCAGGCTCTGTCAATCATAGCCAGGGGAGGTGTGGCTAGGGCTGCATAAACAGAAACAAAGTGATTTAACTCCTAAATGACAGTGAATTGAGCGTAAATGATCTATACACTAAAACGGCTTTGTTTAGCTAAAGTCATTTAGGTGACTATAGTGTTCCTTTAATGAGAAAACAATAAAGTAAATTGAAATTACCTTTAACTAGTGATTAATGAGATCCTTGAGGCTGCTGCTGCGAGATTAAATATTTGATATCTGGGGCGGGGCCTGACCGCTGAGCTGAGAGGAAGCATGCCTCACCAGTTCTGGATGCTTGGGGCAAAAAAAGCGGATTCCAGAGGCCTAAAAGCCACCAAAAGAATACCTAAAGGCCACCAAGCGACAGATGATACTGGGGCGCACACACAGACACCACCCAAGCGACGATGCCACCCAGGCGTACACAAACTCACTGCGAGGCCTACCAGCATGGCGGGCGCGGGGAAGACGGGTGCTTTACTGCTGCCTGAACCAGCCAGGTGTTGGCCTCCAGGCCCTCGTTCCCCCCCCCGGACCGGCGGGGGTTATCCTGGTCCACGCCCTCACGATCCCCTTGAAAGAAGATAAGTGGATGAACCGACCGTGCGGAGGTCCCTGATGTGGCTGACAAAATGGCGGACGGCACACACGCCTCAGCCCTTTACAAGGCCAGGCAAGACATGGAGCTCCGACTCACCTGCATATTCGACTCCTTCTGGGAGCGGCTGAAAAAGCTTGCATGGCCTTCGGAACCAGGGACCCAGCCAGAAGGCAAGCCACAAGGCCCAGTAAGAGAGGCTCCAGAGTGGGACCCAGCACGTGCCATAAGCTCCATTCCCGGGCCCCACAAGCACCTGAGAAAGACCACCCCGCTATCAAAGGCCCGGAGCCTCACTTAGGGCAACCGCAGCCAGGCACAGGCAAAGCATATCGGGGGAACTCCCACACAGCAGCAGCGCAGAAAACAGCCTCACCGCCCGGCAATGACACAGCCTAAGAGAGGCATGAAAACCCCAGATGAACTCTCACGACTGTATGCATGCAATTAACCCTCAACATCCTTTCTTTCTGCTCAAGCATACACAGTGCATATAACATTCATCATTAACGATAAGCTGTTAATAATGTCTAACAAGCACTATGTTATTTTATGATTTGATGAATGCTAGTTGCCTGCCTATGCCTACACTAGTTACACAAAAATTGAGACGTTCCAGGGGTTAAACACCCGCTACTAGCTTCTTAGACTATACCCAGCTAGCATGTTATACAACAATACAGTTTAGTGTCATGCTGGCAGTATTATGCTAATTGTTCTCAGCTACTCTAACTTACCCTAACGTGTCACTTCACAACCTAGTATCACCTGTAACCAAGCGAGGTCATTTACTCTAGATATGTTCCTTAATGTCAGTTAGCCACATTCGCTTATTTCTCATAAACAACCACCTACTGACAGATTTAGCCTGAGCAGTCCTATGGGCAGCTGTTTATGTTTATGATTGTTTGTATGCTTAAGTTTCCTGTTACCTCCAGCGGTGGGTGCCAGTGGTTTAGTATGCTAACGTAACTCAGTGGGTTACAATTCGTGGCGGTATGCCTATCTTATTTGAGACACTAATCTTATGCTATATGGTACACTGACCTAGCTTAACTAACCTGTTCTCTTTATCAATAACATATGCATTGATTAGCTTGTATAGTTTTGTAAAAAAAAAAAAAAAAAATGCTGTCATGGTGACACAAGCCTGTTTGTTCTTCTTTGCACAATAAAAATAAAGAATATAAATATGTGATATCTGGTTCGATTTTCATAAGGAACAAACAAAGTTCTCCTCTTTCGGGGATATTCAGATGATTTCTCTGTTTGCTCATAATATGATTTCTAATCCGTGCATCAGCTCCCCTCCTCAACCTTCCTCAAAGCAATGCCCAGCAGGAAGGCTGAGCTAGGTAGCCCACTTATTATTATTAGCCAACAACAATTCTCTCCTTTTCCTTTTTATATTTTTTATTTTCCTTCTTTCTCCTATTCTACAAGTACTCTGCTCCTTTTTCCTTTCTTCTTCTTTAATTCACCAGCTGTTCGTGAAAATGTGTCCAAAAATAGCTCAATGGATTCAGCTACCTGGGGTCGGTCTCATTTGTATACTAAATGTCCCAAAAGGTATAGTGTTCGTGCACTTGGAGACGAATGGGATGGATGTTGGTGAGCCTCAGCGGTGTTAGTCTGAAAATGTGTCCGAAAATAGTTCCATACTGTCGACGACAATACACCGCTGGGCGTTGGATGGTTTAAAATGGCCGCCGCGTGTTCAACAAACGAACGCTGACCACCCAGCCGTTCGACAAATACTTGTGATTAACTGCAATGGCTGGGTGGTTAATGAGCTGCACACGATCATTGTAGGTGGTCTGACTGTTCGGAGAATTGTTCGGTTATTTTAATAAAAGCATGAAAGGGCCAAATACACGAATACCGTACGAATTAAAAGACTCCAGAGATTTAGCAAAACAGGGGTTTTGTCACACAGCTCCCCCTTAGTCCCATGGAACGGCATACCCGCTTAGATCCTAAAGGGTCTGTCATCACTGTGAAAGAGCGTCCAGAGAGGTAAGGCTGTAACTTCTTAAGGGCCCAAACTAAGGCCAAACACTCCTTCTCAACGGTGGCATAACTGACTTCGCGGGGTAACAGTTTCCTGCTCAGATATGCCACAGGATGGTTCATGCCATCGTCACCAATCTGGCTTCCATTCAAACATTGAGGCATCTGTGTGAATGTGAAATCGTTTAGTATGGTCAGGTGCTGCCAACACAGGAGATTCACTTGCCGCAGCCTTGAGTTTCTGGAAAGCCTCCTCACACTCAGGGGACTAGACTACTTGTTGGGGTAGTGACTTTTTTTGTGAGGTCAGTCAGGGGTTTGGCCATGGCACTGTACTCTTGTACGAACTTTTTATAGTAACCGGCGGTGCCCAGGAACGCCATGACCTATGTCTTAGTATGCGGTTGGGGCCACTGGGTAATGGCTTCTATTTTTGCAGGTTCAGGCCTCTGTTTCCCTGACCCTACTCGGTGTCCTAAATATTGGACTTCGGCCATGCCTACATGGCACTTTTCTGACTTTAGGGTAAGTCATGCTGTTTGAATACGTTTGAGCACTACTGAAGTGTGCTCTAGGTGGGCTTCCCAAGTGCCACTGAAGATGGCTATATCGTCCAGATAAGCACAAGTGAAGCCCTGGAATCCCTCTAGGAGCCGATCAGCCATCCTTTGGAAACTAGCCGGGGCATTCTTCATCCCAAATGGCATGACCTTGAATTGGTACAGGCCAAATGGGGTGACAAAGGCTGACTTAGGAACGGCCTCAGGCTCCAAGGGGATTTGCCAACACCCTTTACACAGATCAATAGTGGTCAAATAATTCCCCCGAACCATACGGTCAAGTAACTCGTCTCCCCTGGGCATGGGGTAGGCGTCGGTGACTGTCCTTTCGTTTAGTTTACGATAATCTACACAAAAGCGGGTGGTACCGTCCTTTTTAGGAACCAGGACCACTGGGGAGGCCCATGAGCTTTGGGATGGCTCTATGACTCCCAGCCCTAACATATCCTGAATTTCTTTGAGCATACTGCTCACTGCTTTGGGAATCCAATAGGGCTGCTGTCTCAGGGGTAAATGACCTGGGGTCTCCACTTTGTGGACTGCCTGCGTCGTATATCCTGGGGCAGCAGAAAACATTCCCCCAAATTCCTTTAACAGCTGGGAAGCCTGGGCTTGTTCGTCCATGCTCAAGTCGGGGCCCCAACTGTACCCGGTCTACCCCTGCAGGTTCTTGGTGGAGTAAGTCGGGTAAGGGAATACCCTCACTGTCCTCATAAGCTGGAGCGCATACTGCGGAGACTTCCTCTGGTCTTTCTAGGTATGGCTTGAGTATATTCATATGGAAGGATCGACGGATCCTTTCATTTGAACAGTCTGCCACAATGTAAGTGGTGTCACTAATCCTTTCAATCGCAGTGTAGGGACCCTGCCAGGCCTGTAACTTGTTGGTCTTAGTGGGCTTTAGTACTAGGACTTTTTCCCCTACTTCCTGTATACGGTCCCTAGCCCCTCTGTCATACCAGCATTTCTGTCACTGCTGGGCCGCCTGCAGGTTCTCCCGAACAGATTCTGTCAGGGTCTGCAGACGGTCCCTCAGTTTCAGAACAAAAAGGTACTATAGGGGTGCCTGACTCTCCCATATCTCCCTCCCAGTGTTCACGTACTAGGTCTAGTGGTCCATGGACTCTCCTCCCATATTTTAATTCAAATGGGGAGAATCCAGGGGACTCTTGGGGTACTTCCCGGTACGCAAACAGTAGGTGGGGAAGAAACTTTTCCCAATTCCGACAGAGAGGCCGTTTGTCTGTGGGTGATATGGGGAACTCAGAATGGGTTTTACTCCACAGCTTTGCCAGAGCTGCTGGGTAACTACCGCTGTGAATTGGGTCCCCTGATCGGACACTATTTCCGTGGGGAACCCAACCCTGGTAAACACTTGGACCAGCACTTCCGCCACTGTCTCTGCATGTATATTAGACAATGCTATTGCTTTAGAATAACAGGTGGCATAGTCCAGCACGGTAAGAATATATTTCTTACCGGATTGACTAGGTTTGCTGAGTGGCCCGACTAAATCTACGGCCACTCGGAAAAAGGGCTCCTCTATTACGGGAAGAGGACACAGTTTGGCTCTGGGCTGGTCCCCCCTTTTTCCTTCCTTCTGACATACGTCACAGGTCCAACAATAGTCTTGCAATTCTCTGGTGACTCCTGGCCAGAAGAATGCCTGGGTGAGTCTATCCCTAGTCTTTTTTATCCCTAAGTGGCCTGCTAGGGGAATATCATGGCTGATGCGTAATAACTCAACCCTATAATTACGGGGTTCCACTAATTGTTGTTTAGCTACTTGGCCAGCTCCCCTTTCTGTCCCCCCGGTCACCCTGTATAGCAATCCCTTCTCCCAGGTAAACCTCTCTTGGTCTAAGTCTCCCTGGGGTTGGTCTGCCTCCCTCCGATACCCTCATTGCCCAATAGTACCTCCGCGGGCAGATCTGGCATGATGCCCACTTCCACGGACTTGGAGCCGGTACCCCAGTCAAGGTGTGCCCGAGCTGTAGGTAACTTGTGTATCGCTCCTCCGGCTACCCTTACAGCGACGGTGTGCTCAGTGTGTTGTGAGGGTTTGACCCTGTGTGGTTGTACCAGGGTGATAGTGGTCCCACTGTCTCTCGCTTCTTGCCCATTCAGTTTCACTGATTGATGGTGATGAGATCGGTTATCTCCAGCAGCTTGTATGGGATTGACTTCATGTAACATGGACCAGTTCTCGGTGTTGTTACTGGGGGGTCCTTACGCCGTGGGGTTGTAATCCTCCTGTACACAGTGTGCTGCTGCTTTCGCCAGTGGTGCTGGTTTTCGCCCCCATCTGTCTGCAGTATGTTGCGGGCAATTGGGCTTAATGTGCCCCACTTGTTTGCACCCATAACACATTGGTGCTGTCTATGAATATCCAGTGGTAGGGTTGCTCATCGGTGGTGTTGTCCTCTGCCGTGTAGCTGTAGTTGGAGGGTAGGTTGGAGAGCGAAATCCTGTTGGCCCTCGGTTACCGTCCATCCGCCTGCTCTCGTGGAACTCGTCTGCCAGCCGTGCTGCCTCTTCCACTGTCTGTGGTTACCTGTCTCTGACCCAGTCTCTGAACTCAGTTGGAGTGTGGGCAAAGAACTGCTTCAACAGTATGAATTGTAGGACATCCGCTAGCGTAGTCGCCTGGCATCCCTGCATCCAGTTACTGGCTGTGCGGGGAATGCGGAATGCCCACTCAGTATTGGAATCTTTGCCCTGTCTCTTGAGGGCCCGAAATTTTCTTCTGTGGGCTTAAGGTGTCACAGCGTAACAAAATGTCTTTGATTTTTTCATAATTTTGTATGTCCACATCAGGCACGGCTCTAAATGCTTCCGCTGCTCTGCCTGACAATTTGCTACTTAATATCGTAGACCAACTAGCCCTCTCCAAATCTTCTAAACGCAGCGTAGTTGATCTTGCGTGGTCGCCCCATTGTAGATCCAGATAGCGACAATATATCCACTGGTGGTGATCTGTCTCTGGTCTCCCGAGCTTCCCGGACATTCTGTGCTTCCGTGGCTTGTGCCATGAGCTGTACCACAATCTCTAGTGCAGGGTTAGGTCCCACCAGGCTGAGTCTTACATCTCTTTGAAAATAAATAAAGTGAAAGGTGGGTGGAGGGCAGTGAGAAAAATCAAGTGCAGGCAAGCTTCTGTGAGGACATCACTCCATCCACAAATACAGACACCAAAAAAAACAGAAAGACACAGTCTTTGAAACTCAGTCTCCTCCATATTCGCCATCTGTAGTTCGCTGGCTTGGTCGCTCTCCAGTAGTTCGGCTATTATCATGGCTTTCGGCTTGTTGCTTGCCACTATGCCTCGAGCTTCCAGCAGTTTCTTCAGCATCGTTCGTTTCAGCCGTTCGTATCTATGCGCCATTCACTACTTTGTTTGGTAATTCCATTTGGGAGAAAATCCCACTGCTTGCCACCAGTGTAATGGATCTGCTATCCCTGTAGGAAAGATCCTTGTAGCTTCTCCCGAAATCCCAACTGCAGCAGAGCAAAGTAGTGATTATAGCTCTCAATCCCCCAAACATGAGTCGAGACTTCATGAAGGGGTAAAATGATCTGGTTTAATGCTGGCCACAGCTCGGCCTTTTATGATGGTCTTCCAGCAAGGGTTACTCCCACAGGGACCTTGTGGAAGACTGTGACAAGAAATACAATAACCAATCATTTTACATTACAATAATAAACACACCCACACAAACAGTGAACTCCCTTCTCTCTATACTGGATATAATTGGCTTAAGTGGTTGAAGTAAACTTATTTATCTCCAGGTAGAGAGAAATACTTTCTTTTTACATTATAACAAAAATGTACTAAAATCCATAACTTCTTTTTCGCCGAACGGAATCCCCATTTTCCCCCCAATTTTCAATGTAGCCAAACAGCGCTCAGATCCCACAAATACATTTAAACGCCATGGAGCTAAAGATTTAATTCACTGGCTGTTCGTGAAAATGTGTCCGAAAATAGCTCCAGGGATTCAGCTACCTGAGGTCGGTCTCCTTCGTATACTAAATGTCCAGAATGGTATAGTGTTCGTGCACTTGGAGACAAATGGGATGGATGTTGGTGAGCCTCAGCGGTGTTAGTCTGAAAATGTGTCCGAAAATAGTTCCATACTGTCGACGACAATACACCGCTGGGCTTCGATGATTTAAAATGGCCGCCTCCACGTGTTCGACAAACGAACGCTGACCACCCAACCGTTCGATAAATACTTGTGGTTAACCACAATGGCTGGGTGGTTAATAAGTTGCACACGACCATTGTAGGTGGTCTGACTGTTCGGTGAATTGTTCGGTTATTTTAATAAAAGCATGAAAGGGCCAAATACACGAATACCATACGAATGAAAAGACTCCAGAGATTCAGCAAAACAGGGGTTTTGTCACAATGACACTCTAGTCCAATAGTATTTTTTATTTTATTTTTTTTTTAACAATTTCTTCAAAGCTTTTGCAGTTAGTACAGACCATGTCAATCTTAGCTGAACATTCCCACAGTAAGCAGGACAAACAACGGTAATTCTAACGATTCCCTCCTATATTGTGTTTTAAGCAGCTAATCATGACAGGGGTATAATTTTTGGCCCATTTGTCTGCTTTCATCTACTCTACAGTAATATGCAATGGAGATACTTTGATCAATCCACAAATCCACAACAGAACTGCTGCAGACAATGGGAGATAGATAGAGTGATGGTTAGGTGATCAGAGTCTCCATACAAGGTATTAAACAAACAAAAAATAGGTCACTGGATTAAAGGGACACTATAGGCATCAAAACAACTTTAGCTTAATGAAGCAGTTTTAGTCTATAAATCTTGACCCTGCAGTCTCACTGCTCAATTCTCTGCCATTTAGGAGTTAAAATCAGTGAGACTGCAGGGGCTTGATCTTCACACCAAAACAACCTTATTAAGATAACATTGTTTTGGTGGCTAGTGTCCCTTTAAGCCTCTTTAAACTTTTCTTTTGTCACAAAAGAGACATAGGACTAATTCAGGGCACGACAAATCCCAGGTGCCAGGTTGCCAGGGCGACTAGAAATTATGCCCTGGGGTCTTGGATTTGAAGCCCTTTAGCTAAAGCCGCAGGATGTGGTAAAAATTGAGCCGGCTGGTCACAATGAGCAGCATGGAGGCGGATCGTGGAGGCGGCAGGCTGGGGCAGCGCGTGAGGGAGCAGTAATCTACCTGCAGCTCCTCTCTGCTCCCTCGCACTGTATAGTGATGCCAGAAGCCGGAAAATGACGTAATTCTGGCTCCGGCATCACTACAGGGAGCAGAGAGAAGCTGCAAGTAGATTACTGCTCCCTCGCACACAGGATGAGAGCAGACCCACTAGACCCCATAAAACCTGTACACGAGGGCTACTGTTGTACTTGGGAGACTTCGCTGAACACAAATATTTGTGTTTTAAGGAAGATGTGTAAAAAAAACAGTTTTGGATTGGCCACAATTGCCACTGCTTTTTGTGAACTGATTTGAAGAAGAACTCTTGAAATAGTCAGCAATGGCTGACTTGGGCCAATTCTTGGAGAAAAAGTTTCTGGAGCTTTTTCTCTCAGAACAGAACGTCTTCAAATGTCAGTTTAGACTTGAAACAAATAGATCTATTAAAGGACCACTCTAGGCACCCAGACCACTTCAGCTTAATGAAGTGGTCTGGGTGCCAGGTCCCTCTAGGATTAACCCTTTTTTTTAATAAACATAGGAATGGTTTACTCTCCACAGCCAGTTCTGCAGTGACTAGCACTGGAGCGCACTTCCAGGTTTCACCCATTGGGTAAGGGATTGCAGTGATTGCCATCGCTGTGGTGGTAGGGGTTGAGTGCTATGTGTTTTCCCTACTCTGACTTCTGGTTACCCACAGTTCAGCGTTGAGTGTTGTCAGTGGCTGAGTTACTTACTGTGCTTAGGCTATTTTAGAATGAGAGGTGTGGCTAAGGAGGAAGGTTTACAGTACAGAAAGCTAAAGAACTTTTATTTATTTTTTGTAAAAACTATCTATATTGAGCATGCAAAAAATACAGCGTATTAAAGAGTCCAAAACATATAAAAAGAATTAGAATTGTTTTTCAGCACCTGGAGTGACCCTTAAAAAAGCAGTTGACAGGTTTAAGAATACGTTTTGACAAGCAAATGCAAAACTACTCACATATCCAGAGTTGGATCAATCCCCATCTCGGTAAGAGAACTCTCTCTTCCATCAGCTTCTGTAGTTGGTTTAGTAGTGGATGAGCTATCTGGAAGTACTTGCAGTAAGTCAGATTTATTCTTTATTTCTTCTGTCATGCAATCCCTAGTTACATGTTCCATTTCACTTTCAAGTTTGTCATCGGTCAAATCTGTATGTTGTCTCCGTGGTTGTGCTTCTTTGCTTGCACTGTTTGAAACCTTCAAATCCTTGGAAGAATGGTCTACATTTACATCTCTAAATTAAAACAAAAAAACCCCAACACATTTTCACTATTTATTAGTTATTTTTACAAATTATTTTCAAGCATTTTTGCCAATTTTAAATGTCTATTTTTTATTTGATCCATTTTATATGCAATAGAAGCTGTTTAATAAGCAGATATGTTCTGCTAATTTGCTTTTTTAACTTTCACTTCTTCCAAGGTGGTGCACTCAAGTACTATTCTGACTGCAAAAATTAGGATGTTCACAATACCTAGGTCTGGATTTTGCAGACATGGGGATCGAGCATGTACAATAAAAGGGGGGGGGTGGGACCTACAACAGGGGAAGGATAGACATCCTAGTGTCAGCGGCTATTGGTTTAATAACCAGGGAGGGGGACCTAAAGCCCCCCCAGCCTCCATGTGCACTCTACTGAGATTTCAAAGCATGGGGAAGCCTTGATAAAGCCTTTCCAGTCTTGAAAGCTCATTATGTGCAGATTTCTTTTTTTGTGGGTTATTTTTGTAGGGCTTTTTGCATTTTTTTTCTTTTTATGCTGTGAGTTAATGGTGTTATTTTGGCCTTTTGTGGAGCTGAAGAAAGATTTTTTTTCTCTTACAGGTTTGTAGATTTATAAGCCCCCTTAACTATTATTATAGTGAGGGGGTAGGCAAGATTGTTTTTTGGTTTGGTGTGTTATTGGCAACTTGGCAGGTAGGACATAAGGAAAGCTTAGAACTACCCTTATGGTAATATGATGGCTGACCCCCATTTTTAATATGTTCGTTGGCTGCTACTGCTGGCAGAATGCAAATAATTTGAGGTACTATCATTTGCTTTCAAAACGTAAATGAACGATAATTTGCAAATGTGCTACTGGATACACTTGGTCCCGATTCACTTTAAAATTGTTGCTTTGTACATATTCCAAAAATTCTATACTTTTTAAAGGGTGTGAATATGAAAAACATTGACTTTAAACCAGACAATGAACATGTAAATATGATAATTGCCAGAATTATCGGAATCCAGACACTTTCACTAAATATTATCCCTATGGACAATATCTGGTGTTAGGGGAATAACCCTGTGTTAGTGCAGTCAGTGAACCTGATCTCCATTTACATTCAGAATATTAGACTACTGAGATTATTTACTAAGTAGGAAATGTTAGAAATCCAAATATAGCAAAATTCTAGTAAATAAAACTAGCTGAACTGGGAAAAAAGTCAGATATGCTTCCACGTTGGCCATAAATTTGAAAATAAATGTGTATTCCAGACAATTTGCACTTTAATGAATAATCCTATTAATGTCTTTTTGTATTTTATATTTTAATACTTCCTGGTTTGTTTAGTTCAAGAGGCAGGCAGCAACTGCCCCGAGCACCTGCTTTGTAAAGACTTCTCATTGGCTACATTGGGAAGTCTGTGATTGGACAGCAACAGAAAGTCTGGGATGGGTTAGAAGGGGAGGGCTTTCACAAGAAGCAGGCAATAGATCCTCAGGTTTTCCAAGCAGTTTTAGATAAACCCCCAATGGAAAAAAAAATACATAATTACAAGCATGCAGATTTGCATATGGCGTATATCTACTAAGAGTAAATATACTAAATATTGATTTTTATTTAATTTGTATTTTGGCAGTGGAGTGTCCGCTTATTATTTGGTAGTGCACATAACTGTTCTAACAATGTCAACACTCACTTATTGTCAAAAAAAATATCATCCTCCTCATCATCATCTCTTGTGTGGATCAGTGTGTTGTAGAATGACAGTTCTACTGCACAATTTAGGATCTCTGGCTCCAGCTGTTGGCAGCTTTCAGGGGAAATATATTGTTCCTCTTTTAGTGGCAGAGCTTCATCTTGTTTACAGAAACTGTAATGGAAACAAACAAAAAAAGAAGTTATGCATGAACAGAACTGGAACTGGCCACTAATTTGTTTAAGAGTCAGGAGTAATGCGGGGCATATAGATTAAAATTTTTATCTACCTCACCACTTTTATTACACCTGGCCTTTCTACTTTTCTCAATGGCAGTGTTAAATGGACACTCGAAGCACCAAAACCACTTTGGCTTGATGAAGCTGTTTTAGTATAGATCATGTCCCTGATGTCTTTAGGCATTAGATCACTTTTGCTTCTGTTTACACAGTCCTACCCGCACATCTCCTGGCTGTGACACACACAGCCTGCATAAAAAAAAATGTTTCATTTTCAATCAGATGTGTCCTGCTCTGTTAATTGAACTTTAATATCACACAGGAGGCACAGACTGTAAAGTAAAATAAAGGAAGTGTATATATATATATATATATATATATATATATACACACATACACACACACACACACACACACTACATTTGCATAAGCCAGATGTCGTAAAACCTGCTTCATACCAGACCAGGAACCCATAGAGACAGTTTGCCCCATTACCAGGGACTGGCACCGGTGTACTACATAACCAGTGCTCGCGCCAGGGAGTTCCAGGTATCAATGGTGATCCCCTCTGTTTGCATACCCAGACTTTTAGATAAGCTGAGAGCTGAAAGTAAGCCCTGCAAGTAGCTCTTTAAATAGGAAACTAAATGCCTGTAAAAGGATCACAGTGTGAACAGGGTTAAATCCCTGTGCACACTACAAAAGCCAGGTATCAATAAACTGACTGATGCAGCATTGAAAGTCAAGGTTGCAAGCAGCTCTTTAAATAGGCATTTAAATGCCTAGAAAGATTGCTGTGTGAGCTGGATTAAATCCCTGCTCACACACAAAAACTCAGGTATCAATGAATAGCTAAGCTCCCTTCTGTGAGCTGGAGCCATTTTTAGTGGCCCCACACTGAACATTGGATGTAACTGCTCATTAAAGCCCTTTAAATTCACCAAGCCTGAGCATGGTTGCACTCAGCTGAGTCGTTTTTGGACTGCAGGCTTGTTAAGAGACCCTGAATAGACCCTGACTGGGCTAGCAAAGACAGAAGAAAAGATCTACAGGTTTTGCAAGCCGTTTTTAGATTTAACCTCAAGTAGAAAATGTATAATTAAATACATGCAAATTTTGATTTGCGTTCTAAGCGGTGATTTTATTTATTTCGTATTTGAGTATCCCTTTAATTATCAACAATGTATTTAGATCCTACAGATATTAGACATTAAACAATCAGGACTGATACATGATTTTTTTCCTTAAATTGCATTTGATGTGTACAAAAGTATTATAAGCAAAAATTTCCCTAATCTGTAACATTGTATTCACACGTAAGGTTGTGTTAGGTATACATATATTTACAGGAACACTATAGGGTCAGAAGCACAAACATGTATTGCTGACCCTCTGGTGTTAAAATCACTATCTAGCCCCGTGCCCCTCTAAATATAGTAAAATCTTACCGTTATTACAGTCTGCTGCTGCTGGCTCTGCCCCTGATCTGCCTCCTTGACTGACATCATCAGAAGTGATTATCTGAGCCAATCGCATTGTTTTCTCATAGGAAACCATTGGATTGGCTGAGATTATTAATTCTGATGATCTCAGCCAAGGAGGTGGGCTTGGGGGCAAAGCCAAACACCACCCTGGCCAATTAGCATCGCCTCATAGAAATACATTGAATCAATGCATTCCTATGAGGAAAGTTCAGTATCTCCATGCAGAGGATTGAGAAACTGAATGTCAGTGCTGCACACTGTGCAGGAGTGACCCAAGACGCACCTCTAGTAGCCATCTGAGAAGTGGCCAGTGGAGGTAACCTCTTGTTTGGAAAAGACAATATTTACATCAAAAAGCCTGCAGGTACCGGCTATAGACACCAGAATAACTACATTAAGCTGTAGTTGTTCTGGTGACTACAGTGTACCTTTAAAGCAATCTCTCTTCTTTAAAGCAAAAACAATAAACAATATGAACAGGGGTACTTAAAGAGAAACCCTTATTAGAACAAACACATAGTGCGAAATTTAGGTTTTTTCTTGGTATGGAACTTGGACAAATATCTCCGTCCCTAAGGGGTTAAACAAGAATGGACTGAGGTACAGGAACACATGCCTTTTTCTCTTAAATACTATACCTCCTATACAGACCACTTTGCCAAAACAATTTTAACACTGCAACGTAAAACATAGCATTTCATTTTAGAAACAGGGTAAAATCCAGCTCTAGTGGCTGCCTTCTAGACAGACAATAGAGGTGTTTCCTCCCCAAGACTGAATAAAACTCAGGGAATGCTGATAGCAGCATTTGACTGAAGGGGTGTGGAGTTTGGCTGCGCATGCCCAGTTCCAATCCATTGCTTCTCTATGAGAAGCAATGGATTGGAAGAGATGACAGGTGATGTCTACTTGGATGCTGACATGACCAACCGAAAGGAGGAGCTGGAGGCACTAGTGAAGTAAGTAAACTTTATTTTACACAGCAAAGTGGTGGACAGAATGAAACCTACAGTCTCTAAATAGATGTTATTTTCAGGACTATAGGTTCAGGACTTAAAGTCATGTACAGTGTCCTGATTAACATTATTGGTGAGGTTGTTAAACACGTGTTTCTTCTCTAAGCACATCTGTCATAACAAGCTAAACATGTCATGGTACTGGACAAACTAGGCTGTATCTATGAGAGGGTTACTAGCTGCAAGCTAGTAACTTCGTTATTAGTGTCAAAAAGGATGCACAGAATTGAAGTTATTAACAAGGCAAAGGTGCCAAGCTTCTTATATGTTGGATGTGAGCGTTTCATACAATAGAGCAGGAGTGCATGTAACTGGCAACTAATTCCTTATGAATAATAGACCCAAGATTCAAGGACTAGGCATGCTTTATTTTTTTAACTCAATTATTACAAATATAGAAAATGGATGCTCAACGTCCACCATTACTAAATAATCACTAGCCTACTAGATACATGTCGGGGTATTTGTACATCTTACGTTGTAGCGATTATTAGCTATTTATTAAGCTATGAAATTTCTCCTAAGAATAATAACTAATTACCTGCATCAATTGGATTGGAACATGATCAGTGAAATTAGAGTAAACTGTGCTTTATGATCTTTGGGCATAGTCTTATTCTGTTTTCAGCAGTGGTTTCCAGATTGAATGCACTTCAGTTCTGTGCATCCTCTTTGACGCCAATAAGGAAGTTAATAGCTCTTATACCTAGTAACCCTTTCTATGATGCGGCTAAGTACATCTCCAGGCCAATTTACTTAATACCATGACGTGTTTAAATTTACAAAGCGAGTTGGATAGCAATGCATAAGAGGAGGGTATAACAAATGTAAAAAGTGTATGCAGTTTAATAGACTTACGTGTTAAGGCAAGGTTGGGCAAAGCCCAGTGACTAGTAATAGCAAGTAGGTGTGAAAGACTTGTCTGAGCAGATGAATGATTTTATATACTTCCTTTACAAAAGCCTTTATCATTTTCAAATAAATATGCACAGTCAACATCAAGTAGACATGACAATAATCTAAACATTTTACAGGCAAAACCCTATGTAAAGATTAAAAGACGTAATATGAAGATATATACACCTCATTGAAACATAGAAACTAATGAAACCATTACTTCTGTGGGATCCTATCTGCATCAAGTCAACATGACGGGTTGTGTATGACTAATTCTAGTGCACACATTTCCAAAAATAGAATAATCTCCATGGAAACCAATGGAATGCCCCGATGATTGTTTCACTTTTAGAACTTTGCGTTAGTTGTGTTTGTTCCTATGGGTATCATGTGAACATGAGAGGTTATGTAAAATGACTAATTCTACTGCAAAGTTCAAAAAATTAGAACAATCATCATGGAAACCAATGGAAGGTCCCTGATGAATTACACTTTAAACATAACCACCATGGTAGTTGAAATGCAAGGTGCCTGTCTCATTTGGTGTTGGTGAATAGGGAAATTTGGCAGTTATGATACTACAGCACCCAGCTTGGCAGACTATAGCACACATTATGTTTTATACATGCAGGTACTTGCTATCACCAAGTATTAGTATACCAATATAACAAACGGTACGATATTTCGTTGTTATTCAATATATGGCTCCAACTAGAAAACTTCTCCTGTCCCGGGATATTTATTAATTTATACATATTAGTGAGGGGCAGACCTGCTTCTCGTATTAGCTCTAACAAGTTTACTTTCCTCTTTCCATTTGACAATAACAATAATTACAATGTGCAACATCCTGCCCGCAATACGTGCAATGCAGACTGCACACAGGATAGATTTAAAGTAACAGTGCACTCAGTCAGACTATCCCGGCACAGGATGTACTTATTGAACGCAGTGTAGGCTGAGGGTTGTTGTACTCACCGCTGTCCACCCTCAGCATCGCCAATCAGCTGACTTGTCGCCATCCAAAGCACACGTTCAGACAAATGCCGGAAGCATCAGCGAGAACTACAATTCCCGGCATCCACTCCGGCAGCTCAAACATTCAAAACTTTATTTATTCAACAACAGCAATCCATAAAACGCGTATGTTAGAGATGTACCGGAAATACATCACTGGTCATGCCTGGGGTGGGGGGGGATTGGGTTATGCTGACAGTGACCTAGTAGAGTATTAGCAGATAGAATACATGGAATCTGGGCTACTTCATCGGTTCCTTCATACAGCACAGAATAACTCCACACAGTCTGAATAATACTGCGCATTGTGTGTGGCCTACAGAGTGGGCATTAACCTGTGCAGTTTACTTAGTGTTCATGAGCTTGTTATATAGTCAGAGCAAACATTTAATCTCTATTTCTTATTTAGTATTCCTCTACAACTGGGTTTTAAACAAGTAAAACCATGCTTTCTCATACTGCCCAGTAGGTGATTCAATGATTTATTAAACTCTGTACACGCAATGGGACGGACATGTTCAGTGTAAACTTCCTGCAACTCCATAAAATAAATGTTTTGGCTTGCCTTAGATTTATGGAAATTATCTAACTGCTATGAATTCAGGATTATTCTAACCTTAGTGTCCCGAATAATCTAAATTTTATTAAAGACAGGAGGCGAATATTTGCTTATCTTTCTTTACTGAAATTCCCAGCATCTAAGAAACAGTTAACAGTAAGTAAAAAGTGTAACCAATCAAAATGTATAACAGAGTATGTCTAGTCATCAGGCTCCTCCAAACTCCTCTTTCTTGATGTAGCCGACAGTCGTAGAGTCAACCATGTAAACAAAAAACAGCAGATCGATAAGTAGATCCTAACGTAGTCAACCATGTAAACCGGTGTTAATAAGTGAAGATAATTTTACCACATGACAGGAGGCTTCATATTTTGCATTGACTTTCTTTACTAACTCCATAGGAGCAAAGAAAAAAGCATGTGAAATAAAGAACCAATCAGAGCACAGTCAGAGTGTATATAAGTGAAAGCATATCCAGAGCACTAACTCTTTCTTTGCTGCTCCATCACAAGTCAGGTCAGAGTACTTGTTCTATGCCTCGGTTTTAAAACTGTACTTATTGTATGTGATTACTATTTTCCTTTTCTGTGGGGGTGGCTGGGGGCGGTCCTTTATCTCCACCTCTCTAGTGGGGCTGTTTATTTCTCTGATTGGGTTTCTGTCCCCTCTCTCCCTAGGCGGCCATCCCCGGTGGGGATGTCGGTGCATCCGTGGGAGGAGCATGGACAACCCAGGAACTCACCATTCACATCAACTGCCTGAAATTATTGGCTGGATCCTTCGCCATCCGAAGCCTGACAAAAGGGCAATCCAGTTGTTGTATTCTCCTTCGGATGGACAACATCTCTGCCGTATGTTACATCAATCATCTGGTAGGTACTCGCTCCCAGACACTGACAGAGTTAACAAAGAAAATTTTTGATTATTGCCTATTGTACAACATCATGATCATGGCATTGGCCGAACATTTACCGGGGGAGTCGAACCTGACAGTGTATTGGTACTCCAGACACTGGAGAGACGCCAGCGACTGGCAATTAAACCCTCAGATATTTGCAATCCTGAATGACCGGAGAGGTCCACTCCTACTGGACCTGTTTGCCTCACGCAACAGTCATCAACTACCAATGTTTTACAGCTGGCTCCCGGACCCGGAATGCACGGCGGTGGACGCCTTCACCCAACACTGGCCAAGACAAGGGGCTTATACTTTTCCCCCATTCGCAATGATTGCAAGAGTACTCCACCAAATACAGAGATCAGAAGTGACGATTCTCCTTAAGGCCAAGCCAACCCTGGTTCCCAGACCTCCTCGACATGTCTTGCGAGGATCCAACCCTCCTGCCGGACAACCCAATGCTACTCTGGGACCGAGTGGGGAACCCACATCCTATGCTCCTGGACGGATGCCTGTCCTTAGTGGCCTGGACTCTTTCAGGGGTGCATGGTGCACCAATGATTTATCTTCAGCAACTAGAGATCTGTTGTGGGATTCCTGGGCACCAGGAACAGGGAAAAGTTAACTATCTGCTTGGCGATCTTGGATCGGTTGGTGTGTGGGACGGGACCTTGATCCCTTTACAGCACCTATCTCCGCGATCATGAATTTCCTCTCTTCACTCTTCGAGGAAGGTAAGTCATACCACGCCATCAATGTCATCAGGTCCGCTATATCAGCAGCCCATGTACCGGTTCAAGGGAGGGCGTTTGGTCAAGACCCTCTGATCTGTTGACTACTACGAGGCATCAAACTCAGACGTCCTTCAGCCCCCAAATATCAACATCTATGGGATGTGGACATCGGTTCTTGAGAGAGTGGCCATCTAACGAACTTCTATCCTTACGACAACGTGTCTTGTTTTGTTCCGCCACGTCTCGGATGCCCGCGCTTTCAAAGTGGACACTTTTACGGTCGCTCCGGAGGGAGTCACATTCCGTATTTCACGATGAACCAAATCGGATTCGTCGTTGGCCTTCTACCCGTTCTTCGCCTCTGACCCTCAACTATTAGTAGTTATGGCACTGCGGGCATATGTGAAAGTGACTGAGACGTTGCGCCCAACATCATCCCGACAGCTGCTTGTTGCATATGTCAGTCCAGTTGCGGTCACCACTCTGTCCAGATGGATTAGATGGCTCCTTACGCTGGCCGGGATAGACCCGTCTTTCGGTGCCCACTCCGTTCTTGGAGCGGCGACGGCTTTTATGGCGGATGCGTCACTTTCAGATATTTTACAAGCGCAAATCTACGTTTTGGACATTCTATTTCCGTCCGTCGTCTAACGCTGCGTTTTCTCTTCTTCCTGAGAGTTAAATTGCAAAATATGAAGCCTCCTGTCATGTGGTAAAATTGAAGATTATACTAGCGTAGTGTACTAATAATCTTAATTTTAATAACAAGAGGCGTGTATTTTCCCCCCCTTTGTCATTCTTCCCAAACCTGGTATAAGGTAAGCTATAGGGCAGTGATGGCGAACCTTTTTGAGCCCGAGTGCCCAAACCGTAATACATGCCAATTTTTTTTACCTCAAAGTGCCAAAACGGCAATTAAACCTGAATACTGAGGTTTAAGTTTAGAAAAAACAACTCATACAGTTGTCCGAACTAATTAACATCTCTGTGTGTGTATTAAGCAGTTTGTGTGTGTGCTCGGCAGTCTGTCTGTATGTGTATTTTGCAGTCTGTCTGTGTGTATTTAGCAGTCTGTCTGTGTACTTAGCAGTCTGTCTGTATTTAGCAGAATGCTGAATACACACACAGACTGCTGAGTACACAGTCTGCTGAATACACACACAGACTGCTAAATAAACACACACACACACACAGACTGCTGAGTACATACACACACAGACTGCTGAGTACACACACACACACACACACAGACTGCTGAGTACACACGCAGACAGACTGCTGAGTACACACACAGACAGACTGCTGAGTGTACACACACACAGACAGACTGCTGAGTGTACACACACACAGACTGCTGAGTGTACACACACACAGACAGACTGCTGAGTGTTCACACACACAGACAGACTGCTGAGTGTACACACACACAGACTGCTGAGTGTACACACACAGAGACTGCTGAGTGTACACACACTGCATTGAGGGGTACAGTGTATGTGTTTGTGTGTGGGGTGGTGTCTTTGTGTGTGATGTGTGTGTGTGTGTCTTTGTGTGGGGTGATGTGTGTGTGTGTGTGTCTTTGTGTGGGGTGATATGTGTAGGGCAGGGGTGCTGTGTGTATGTCATCCCCCCTCTCCCCACCCCCACTGTTTTCTTTCCCCCATCCCTCCCTCATTTTTTTTCTCCCATCCCTCACTCAGTTTCCCCCCTCCATACCTCCCTCAGTTTTCTCCCCGCATCTCTCCCTCAGTTCCCCCCTCCATACCTCCCTCGGTTTCTCTCCCCATACCTCCCTCCAGTTCCTTCTCCCCATACCTCCCTCAGTTTCCCCCATACCTCCCTCAGATTTCTCTCACCCCAGCCACCTCCCTCAGTTTCCCCCCTCCATACCTCCTTCAGTTTTCTCCCCGCATCTCTCCCTCAGTTCCCCCCTCCATACCTCCCTCAGTTTTCTCTCCCCCCATACCTCCCTCAGTTTCCCCTCTCCCCCATACCTCCCTCAGTTTCCTTCTCCCCCCATACCTCCCTCAGTTTTCTCTCCCCCCATACCTCCCTCAGTTTCCCCCCATACACCTCCCTCAGTT